ATTTGCTATATTAGCTGCTTCTCGTGGCAGTGTTTCCATATTTTGAACAAACTGAGTAGATTTTGCAGCATTCATTGCAGCTATCATTTTCTTATCAAACACATGATCTACTTCAGTTATATTTTCTAGCATAAATTCACATGGAGACCAAATGATATATCCAATCAGGTGGAATAATGGGAGCTAAAATAAATTTGAAAAGGAAATGCAATAGATGCATGGTACTTGTCTAGAAATAATTTTACATTCCTATAGAAATAATAAGTTCGTTTATTTTCATTAAATATCCATTCTGAAAATATTCACTGCTAATTTACTATAGAATGCTGGATAAGACGAATAAAATTTAAACACTGATATTTGAATAATTCCAACTGCCCGAATACCAATGCTTACATTTTATTCGTAATACCGGTAAAGTTTATACAGTCCAATATATTTTCTGGATATTTAAGCGATAATTTTAGAAAAATACTCTCTAGTATTCCGACCACTTCATTTAATCTAACCCCAAAATTAGCAATGTGAAATATTGTGGAGTACATTCGATTCATTAGCAATATTACGAAACATTAGATTAACATTAAGCCCAGATAATCAGTCACTATGTATGGACAATATCTTCCTTTGCATACCTTTTTATAACTATTCCAAATGATACGCATCATTTTCTTATCAACGGTTCCAAATATGAACATATGGCATAAGGCAAGGGCAACGATCGCCATTAGGTGTCTCTTATCCGGCATATCATCCGCTGAAGTGTGCCATGTAAATGTTATTTGAAGAAAAATTACAATAGTTATCTTAATTTTAGTCAAAAAAAGAGTAAATTTGAAATCTCAGAATTTTCCGCGAAGTTTAAAATCAAAAAGTCTGAGATTTTTAACAAAAATCCAGATGACAATTCTGAAATTTCTGGTGGAAATATCAATGCAGTTCATAAATTTCATTTAATCATAGAGTTTATTCAAGAGTATTAAAAGTAAATAAGGAATATATACCAGCTACTCGATCCCATTTTTCAAACATTTCAATTATTATCCCTTTCATTCGATCGTTGAACTGAAGATTCTCATGAACATTTTTCTCGAACATTTGTTGACAACAACTCTGAAAACTCATCATCAATATATATCTAAAAGTTTATAGGACAAACAAACACTGAACAAAAATCTATGAAACGAAATTTTTCTATAAATTAATCTTAAATCCAGAAATAAGTGAGAAAGAACATATTAATACTTGAGGTTTTCTAGAAAAATTTTAATTTTTTCCGACTTATGATGAAATATAAGATAAATTGATAGATTTTTAACAATTTAGTTATCAAATCATCCAATCATCCAGAGTAGCATGCCTTTCAATTATTGTACAATCATAGAAATCATAATAGTGACCGTGTAAATATAAATTTAAGTTATCTAGCAGTATGCTTGATTGTCTAATCTCTGGTGACCAAATAGGCATCTCGGCTCCATGAGATATTATTTTGTGCGTTTAAACACTACAGTACTGTTATTATTGTCAGATATTTTCAACTCTACAATAACAATAAATACAAAAGTGAAATTGCCACCTTGTAGAGATTAGCCTGCATAATTGATTGATCGATGCTTACAATTAGCCGTTGAAGAGGTTGCAATAAATCCGATTTTGCATCGAACTGAGATGGGTTATGAGCTATCAATTGCATTGCTCTGAAATTATTTTTGAAATTTCAAATCACTAAATTGTTTCGGATGTTGTCGAAAAATCTCTACTGCAGTTTAATTTTTGTAAAAACAAAAAAATATAATGAAAATCTTTTTCAAAAAATATTTTGAAGAAGCTTGAAAATTTTGGAAAAATAGCGAAAAAAATTTGTCATACTCCCTTTTAACTGAGCAAAATTTTAATATATTAAAATATGAAACTACTATTATCATATAAAAGCAGAGATATAGAGGAATCACAGATGTTCCACCCGCAATTTTCTAACTCTACCGGAGGAATCAGGAAACCGAAGAAGATCCTAATGGTTACAAATATTTTTCCCGTATTTATTATCCATTTCATTACTATTCAACTTCACCAGACCTTAAAATTTGCATTCCAAAAATTTCACTCATAATATTAGTCACATGATCCTATTCTTATTGTACCCATTGCTTTAATGATAATCCAGTAACAATGCCGATATATATTTATTTCATTGATTCTAACTTCTTTAAGCTTTAATTTACCAAATCAAATTAATTTTGATGCTTGCTTATTCTTCATATGAAACAAAGACAACTGGGCAGTTATTTTGAAGATAATTTTTTTTATACTTTTAGAACTTAACAATCTTGAATGCTTTACAAATGTTTCATTTAAGAAGTTTTAAGTCACAAACAAATGAGCTGCTACCTATAATATGATTGCCAGTGTTGCTGCAAAGTGGACTGCTGACGCATGATTTCGTCAAGTGAAATCAAAATGGATAACAGTAATCCAAGTGAACGCCACATCCTCACTAACTTCCTTTCTTGGGCTCGTTCCAAAAGACTACTTCTAAAAATAGAGCAAATATAAACGAAAACATAAAACAGCAATTTGCTAATTCTGTGTTATAAAATGAACAGAATAATTAATTTATAAACTTAATTTTTGACAGACTTTCTAACTTTTAAATGTGACTTTTCGAAAAAATTAATAAAGGAGGAAATGCATTAGTTGGGTCTATAAAATCAGTAAGAAACAAATAATCTTAGTAAAGCTCAGATCGTTCTCTACCAGTTACACACATATATTGTCATAAATAAATTTTCAAATTGATTTCTTCCCTTCTAGAGAAATTAGGAAAATATCCATTGCAAATAGAATTTTATAAAAAAGGTAATCTGCCTCACTGTTAACTACATTTGCAACGAATTTTTTCTCACGGTTATTCAACAGTTAGCTTCATCATTGTCGAAGATCAATTATTTTTAAACTTGTATATTGGTATAGTGCAAGATCTAGAAAATGCTAGTAAGACTGACAATTTTCTCGGTACAATTTCATCAGATTCAGAAAACTTCTTCGCCTCTCTGTTTACCGAACAAAACTGTCTTGAAAATAAGAAATATTTTGAACGAACCAAATGAAACTTACTCTAAGGTAAGAAAAGCATGAAGTTGAGAAATGATATTGTGAAAAACTTCGTAACAACGATTGACAAAAACACGAAGTTGTTGAAGTTGTGGCAAAAATTGGGCAATCATTTTCACAGTACCGCCTTCTGATGATAAGCATCCATCAGCTATCAAAAAAAAAAAAAAAACTGTCACATTAATAAAAACGGTTAAAATCAACTGATTCAAATAATTCAACTGTTTATTTCTCAATTTATTTGGTAACAATCGCAATAACTGATACTGAATAATTAGAAAGACAGCCTAATTTCTTTGCAACTTATCTCTTATTTCATCAATAATATTTTCTTTTTTTTTAAAATTACCATCTTCTCCGTAAATAATCAATGCGTTGTAGAATGTGCTTCGTGCTTTTTCCACTAGGATGTCCACTTCCATGATAAGAGTGGAAAATGTAATGATGCATTTATCGACAACAGAATTTCCACTGTGCGTCAAGTCTACTACGTTCGGCCACAAATCATAAAAATAGTCGTTCTGCAATTATAAATTGAAATTTCCATTAAAATCAAATATATTACTTAGATCCTCTTATATCTTTGATAACTATTTATCTTTCCTCCAGAAAAATTAATGCTGTAGTTATGAGTTCAATCAGTTTGCAAGAGGAAAAAGTATTAGCTGGTAAAGGACAAAAAAGAGGAAAAGTATTTCTTGCCCCTTAACATCCTCTTCTATTCAGTTTATTTCATTAAGAAAAGAAATATCTACGAATCAGGAAAAATAGAGACAAACGGAATGGACGAATTATCGATGAAGACTTATGAAGACTTTTTTCAATATTTCAAGCAACATTTGTCTATCACGGAAGAGAATGGTAATGAAGTCACATTTCATGAATAAAAATATGATTTTCAATTAAATTTGCATATCCATCTAAATTTTTACTATACTTACCTTTTCAATCGGATAAAATACTCAACTAAATAAATAAATGAACGAATCACATCGAAAAAATGTATCTCGTGATGCATATAAAATGGGTTTTCAATTAAATTTGCATAACCATCTATAATTTTTTCAACAAATCAGAAAGTCATTTAAATGAATCACAATGAAGCAGCAATGTTATTACTGTGTTCATCAGATCAAGGAGGCGGATTGATACAAGCCAACTCACCAAAGGACTCAATTTTACCCGAGGTGGTGGGGGAAATCTCGAACATCTTCCTTATCAAATGGTTATTTCCAAACCAAACTTCTGGCTAGATTATGCTGAATCTTACTCTTCTCTTGGAATCATTATTTGATTCATTTCTGTAAAAATTGGATTTTCAACATGAAATAATTTGAAGACATGTTGTTGATTATTCTACTTCTTACATCTATTTGCGGCTAAGATCAAAAGAATAGTCTGATAATCTTAAACGTATAATTCCGAATAAATTTAAAATAGATAATTCATCTGCAAATAAATAATGAGAAATCGCTTTAACTGTTAAGTTTATGAATAATTATGCATTCAGAATCTTTCTCAGAGAGAAGTCGAGATGATGGGAGATTGAAGATTAGTAATGATATGTTATTAGTAAAAGTAGAAAATTACTCGATTACCTCAAAAAGGTCCACATTGAACTGCAGTAACAACTTCAAAGATGGTATAGCAATAATAACTCTTCCTTCACTTCATCTCATTTCAGTACGCCCATCCATCCATCCAGAAACTTTTATAATTTAATTGCTTATAAACTAATGCCTTTCAAAAAATCCTTCTCAGGAAAAATCTTCCGTGATTTCTTGATTGTCGCTCATATTTCACATCCAAAACACTTCTTGGACAAATCATTTTTTTGGCCGAATTCATTATACCCAAATATAACAATTTTTAAAAGTTACAAGAAAATGTCCATAAGGACAAAAAGGTAATTTCATAAATTTGATTAAAATTAATTTTTTGTTTAAAAACACCTATAAATTGAACCATCTGACATTTTTTTGCAACATTAGTAAGACTACAGGTATTTTCGGAGAGGATATGATATTTGAGAAGTAGAAGAATTGTCGATTTATGAGCAAATGTCATTATTAGCATCAGCTACTTGCAATATGCATGATGCTTTCAGGCGAAGCTTAAATCAATCATTAATTTTAGGTATGAAGAAGAGCGACAATTATCCTTCCAAGATCAAATTTCGACACATAAACGGCAATATGGTTCAATGAAATTATCACGCAGTCAAAATCAGTACCAACGTTTATATGATTATCGGTACACATATCGTGTAAGTTCAGTCATTTTTAAAAAATTCAAACTCGTTGAGAAAGCAAATATATAAAAATTAATGAGTTCGAAGCATATAATATTGAGCAGAAAAAATATTGGTTTTTTTTTTTAATTTTTTAGGAAATAATTCGAAATAATAGATTCTAACGCATTTCAGATAAGAGAAATAAATTCAAATTAGATATAAAAATAAAAATATCATTTACAATATCCACAAAAGCTTGTAGCTTTCAGTTTTCAATATTCAAAATGAATTTTTAGCAGCCATTTCAAACGACAAGCAACTATCATTATTATTCGTTAAGTACTCGGCAAGTGTTGGCAAATCATGGATATGTCTTAGCAAATTGTCCAAAACTCGGTTATGGACGTTACAGCAAAGTATGCGAGGGTATACATCTTAGAACTAATAGGAAGGTACTGCACTATCACAAGAACAATAATGCTAATTTTTTGAACTAATTGATTGAAAAAGAAGAAAAATCTTAATATATTTTATCCAAATGAATTCTTAAAATAATCGATAACTAAATTCATGGGAAAGGTATACCGAAAATCGAAATGCCTTTTTTTGATGATATGATTCACACAAAAACTTCATTTTTTCATAGAATTTCACGTCAGGCATAACTGAGTATTAATCTTCCTCCATTTGATGTAAACTGTTTGGGCATTCTTTGCAATCTGCTAAAGTTGGGCTGACAATGAAGATGATTTGTTGTTTATTAGAAATGAATTGATAACTATTTCATAAAGAATAAAATCTAAAAGTTTCATTATACAATTTTAAAATTACTCGATAATAATAAAGCCAATAGATAAAAATGGGTGAGGAAAACCGCTCCTTGATAAGTCTTATAATAAGGCTAAAACATGGACAGTTCGACTTTAATACCGTTAAAAGTTCACTTCGAAATAGAAGCTGGATGTGAGATGTAAAGGTGAAAACAATTTAACCTGCAATCCCACTTATTTTTACGTGCTTGTTTGATTTTTCTCTGCTCAATTTAAGCATTCCAATACTAAATAAAAGAATCCTATGCTACGATAGGAAAACGTCACTACTATCTCATCTTTTTCAGTATCGATCTTACCTATAATAACCCGCCTTGATGCAACAAACAGTGGGTTGATTAGAAACTGAAAGTTACATTTACTGTGCGATAAAATAACTTCTGAAATTTTCAAGATTGCGATTAAAATAATTGACACACGAAAAGTTACTCAAGAATATAAGTGCAAATTTTTGCCACGTGAAATTCATACATGGAAAAGTTTGAGGCATCCAAATTTGGTAGCTCTTTTCGGTGTCTTCGAAGAGGCTGGCAAAGTATATTTGCCGATGGAACTTGCCGAAAAAAGTGATCTTGTAAGTCATTATTCTATATAATACTGAAGTAGATAGTATTAAAAAAATGGCAATAGCAATCTTCATCAGATATCAGAAGAAAACGCTGATAACGGTACAATGAAAATATTAAACATTATCCATAAACAATCATAAGGTCATGAACGACATAATCTAATGACTCTGAATACAAATGAATACTGAAAGTTATCTAAAGGTCATGGTAGAGAGTTCAAATTAGAGTATTATCAAAGGATCATTTATTTGGTTGAAAGACTAATTATTATATTGCTTCTAAGATATAAGATTATCTATTTGGAAGTTTAAGTAAGTTCCAGCTATCACACCTCAAATTCAAATGAATGGTCTCGATAATATGGGTGACATTAACTAGATTACTTGAAGAAAGATGAAATTCTATGACATATATGCTCTTTATTTCAGTTAACGTTTGTGCAACAAAACGGTGCGCAATCGGAATTGATAGCTCAGAGTTGGATGAAGCAACTCATCTCGGCAATTTATTACATGCATATGCGTTCAATAGCACATCGTGATTTGAAATTAGAAAATATCCTTCTATTTGCTGATAACTTCATCAAAATTGCTGATTTCGGATTCTGTCGAGAGGTATGTTAGAAAACGCGATGAGGTATGAAAATATTTTTACTTTAAATCAGTCAAATTTCAAACTAAAATATATTTTAATAAGTCAACTTGCTGTAATAAATTGCATATGTTGATGGAGATAAGAATTTAATGGGAAATTTAAGTCAATTAAACGACTAAATATAATAACTGAGAAGGAAATTGAAGTAATTAAAATAATTAACAAATAATTGAAACAAAGTACCTAAGCAACCACAAAGGTAAAAAATAGCTTAAATTAAGTGGCCAAGTAAGAATCATGCTATCTCTGTGCTATTCTTGAATTAACAAAACTAATGCATCATTTTTTAAATCAATTACATTTGTTGAATCTTTATGTATAGAGTATTGAAAAGAGAAAACGAAAACACTTTTAAAAAGAAAACAATACGGTCATAAGCTTTTATATAATTCTAAAGAAAAATAATAAACTCATCTTTAATTTTAACAAGCTTATAGAAAAGTGATATCTTTTTTATTTGGAACTGAAATGATAATAGCTGCATATAAATAAATATTGGTAACCATCCAACATACATCATGCCACCTACAGGAGATACACTGAATAGTGAAGCAGTCCTGATAACGATGATGATGTGTAATAATCGGAACAGATCCGAAAGTTTTATAAAACATAACAGAAATAGTTAAGATACAAAATGGTGATTTATCGCGAACATTTTGCGGATCGAAATCTTACTCAGCCCCAGAAATCCTTCTTGGTCAAGAGTATATACCATTCAAAGCAGATATCTGGTAAGGTTAAAGTAAGGTTAAACTAATAACGCTTCATCTGGATGAGTAGTCACAGTTAAACCATTTCAAACGTTCATTTTATAAACTTCAGCAATTTGCATGTCACACAGTCAAAGTAATAGCTATCCAAGAAGAACTACCACTCATTTGTCAAATTAAATTATACTTTTAATGAATTAATCATACATTACTAAAAAATAATTTAATCTACAAAAAAGTGCAAATGACATAAGTGTATAACACAGATAGTTATGATTTCACACTGATTTCCAAAACTTATTAGAAAGTTAACTGGGTCAATTGATCATCCCACTATCCTTTTTCAGGTCATTAGGTGTTGTAGCATTCGTGTTGGTTACTAATCGAATGCCATATAATGAACGTGTTGCTAGTAATACTATTATTGTCGAAGCACAACGAAACAGAACTTATCGTTACTCGAAAAAACTACAAATTAGTCAAATATGCCAAAGTACCATCGACACCATGATGACATTTGATTATCATACACGGCCTGATATTCAACAAGTTAGATAAAATGCTTCCGGGAAAGAAAGAGGCATCATTCTGACCTCAAGCTTGAAACATTAATTCGAAAAAAGTACTCACGACTGAAATATAAGCTATATAACCTTTACATTCTAAGCATTTTGCAGCCACAAGCTTCATTACCTCCGGAAAGATGATAATAAACTATAATCCATTTCCCTATTTTATTTTTTTGTACTATATAAACAGTAACCACAGGTCCATTTACGAGACAATAACTTATTTCTTGTAATTTACTTAACTTCCTAAGTCATTTTACTACATGATAATTCAATTCTTTCAGTAGGACTATGGTAACTTAAAAAAATTTCCTCCATAATTATCAGGAATAAATTAATTTCGATTCGGTAATTTTGTGACATTTAAATTCACATTAGAATATTTTCTACTTGATAGATCTATAGTTTGTCATTTACAATTCTGGTTACTGCATTTTATATAATTACCACGTCAATGGTGTGATAAATAAATACTAACAACATAACGATTGCAGGTGATGAACTTGCCCTGGTTTCGTCTATCGATAATACCAACTGATCGCAAGGAAAGTGGATTCAGTTGTACCACCGTATAACATTACACAGCTCTTAGTTTATATATATAAATATAAATATATATTTATATTTATATTTGTATTTAGATATATATCTGTATGATTTTATTTGACATCAAAATCGCTTTCCATTTCAGATAACATTTAAAAAGATGAAATTTCGTTTACTCCTACTATTCTTTTCCCTTCCCTGTCCTTTTATTGTTTCGTCTAGAATCATACTGCACTTATTTGCTCCTCGCCCATTATTCACTTTCCTTAAATATTCCCCTTCCATATCTTTCTTCGTTCATGAATGCTTTATGAAAATGCAATGAGTGTCCTAGGTTTCAGTCACACGGATATACGGATAAATATGTTGTAAACATTGAGAAATTTTAAATATTCACAAACCTTAATCTGCATAAATTTTCGCCTTGCCTTTATACGACAACCATCATTGAAATTACATTCGCGCAATAACGACGCAAAACGGCGTAACTCCTCTGTAGTATATTCTATAATAAAAAATTTTTTAGAGGATTTTAAGGCTGTTTTGTATCCATCACAATCAATAATAGTGCTAAAAAATTGTGGCCAAAATCGCGAAATAATAGATTAGATGATTAATCTATATCAAAATTTTCCAAAACGATCAAAATTTTTAAAATAATCATTTAGCATTATTCCGAATTAATTTGCTACTATAATCAGAGAGTGTTATTTTATATGAATTATCTGCTTAATTGAAGTGCCGAAAAAGGTGTTAAGAAGCGTATGAAGTTTTTCCATACATATTGCAGTCTGGTTCTTGCATTTTTTGCAAGAATGAGAGTGCAATATGTACAGAAAAACTAACGACCCGTCAATTAATAACATTAAAACTGCACGAAAACAGAAACAACGGAACTCTGAAGAACAATGGTTACCAAAAGCATGAGTATCACTGTAGTATAAAACTTATCTTCATTCGACTGCTTCATTATAGGGAAACCAACGATGTCAAAGCAGCACTGGAATTACTCCCACAGTATCACCTAGAAACAGCAAGCACATATGAAATAAAAAGCTCAACCTGCTAGGTCCTGAGCTTGTCAGATCCTCTTAATTGCCTTATATCGTAGAAAATCGAATTCCATGTTAAAAATTATCAAGATTCAAAATCAGTAGTAAGTCTTGATGGTTGATAGCTTAACTAGTAAAGTCCTCAGCTCTATCATGTACACAGTTCTACTAAGTTCCCTGAGGCATAATTGCCTTAAAATCACTTTATTATCAAAGTAATTCCTGGAATAATTCCTTGATTCGCAAGGAACTCCTTCTATAACTTCCTCAAATTAAAATAAAACTATTCCGCACACCACCAAATCATTAATGCTTTAGGATTCGGCCAGGAAGTGAACTAGATAGAGACACACATTTCGTTCGTAATTTGTTCTTAATAAATAGCTACAGCGATGCGATTCTCTACTACTGAATTAAGTGACAAATCACGCTCCAATACGTGTAAACATGAACTGGAGGTACCATATATGAGATAAAAGACCATAACCAACAGGAAACGATGAATTCGGCAATGGTCATTAGAAATTAGAGATGTATCCAAATGATCGAGATTCACTTTGATCTCACAGAAATCATTTTGAAAAAAATCATTGAATATAGTTTTTTTATTAACATAAAGCATTAAAAGTAACAATAACTTCGACAGATAACAGAATTAACAAATGAAAATTTCAACTTTTACAGAAATTGGGAATTTGAGCCCATGCAATTTTTCACAAAATTTGGCAGAGAAAGCTAAAAATAGAATTCATGATAATTTATTCATCCGACATAGTTCAATTTTAAAATAAAGGATTCCGAATAGCTTTCAATCATGTTCAAGTATTGACAGTAACATGATTTAGAATAATACAACCGCTGAAAATTATATTTCCATCAGTTCAGATTCATTAGGTGGTCCAGACAAAGGATGCAGTGTGATAGGATTGTATGTCCATTTCGGAAAAACTCGTTTATAAAGGCTAATCATCACTGTATCCATCGCATTAAGCTGTTGATCGAATACACATTTCATATGACCATGTGTTCCTGAAGCAATAATAAATTAACAATTTAACAAGAATGTTGGACGATTCACTTAAATCCTACCAATCGCTTTAAAGTCGTTAAGGTAAATAAAACAATCAGGTATATCGTACATTGTATTATATGGTAGTTGTTCTACACGGGGAAGCAAAATGGGTTAATCGTCCAAAAGAAAATCACCATATCCGCCCTTTAGCTTAATCAGTTCTCGTATCAAACTACTGTTGCTTAGTTTTAAAATTCTGAAAATTTCAAAATACGGGAAAAACCAAGAAACTGATTGAAGCTTCTGTTTTTCTGAAGATTCTTATATTTGCTACATCTAATCTAGTAGTTTTGTCTCTCCTCTGAAATTTCTCGATAAATTTTAATGCATTAAAATTCTTGAAAAAAAGAAATTACCTAATGCTTCCTTAATGTGTCCCCTTCGACCACGTGGAGTGCGCAACTCTACAGGTTTAAACCATTCAATATCCTCTGAAAAGTAACTGATTTTACTAACAAGTATTTAAAATACTTGAATAAAAAACAAAGATATTAAATATATATATAAAAACCAAAAAAGATCGTTTGACATTTTTGACACAATTACAATTCTGTATATATCGCCTACAGCATTCACACAAAAGGAGTGATCATTTCGCCTTCTGAAGATGAAGGTTGCAATCCAGCAAGTGTCCAGTATTGACTAGCATTTACACGCAAATGCTGAATAGTTATTCGTCTATCATTCATGTGTTTTAGGATATTTTCTTTTATTCTTTCAATTATTTTTTTTAATTTTGGTAAAGGAAACTTACCGCGGTTGAAAAACATGTAGCGTACGACGACACTTCTTCGATTAATTTTAAATGGATGCCCAGAAAGAACGATGCGTTTAAGAATAATTCGATCCGGGGTGACATTTAGCACACCACCTGATGCGACAAGTTGTTGATTTCCTCGGCTATCTAATCGATAAACCAGTACAGGAGTGGGTGGGAACATTATTGGTGCAAATGTCGACGCAACAAATGCACCATCGTTCGGCATGAACCGCTCCATCTGTAAACGTGAGAAACAGTTTACATTTAAAATATTTTCAAACAAATTTAAAATTCGGAGAAAGTTATATGAATAATTTCTGGCACTTTGAATTAAGCTGACAGTGAAGGGGCATTAATATATCATTAATAACTGCAATTTAGTTTATATGGAAAAATCCAATTTCCTTTACTCATTTAGTTACTAATTTAATAACACTTTTTCTCTTTTTACTTGGAAGAAAAATCAGAATTAACGCTCATCAGCAAATAGTTGTTTATCAGAAGAAATGATGCATACCAAAAGCAAACAAAAAGAAATACAGAAAGCATGAATTCAGTAAAATTCAAAAAATCACCTTAAACTTGTCACCATTTGTATGCTGTGAAAAGACTGGCTCCGCTTCAAAATGTCGATAACCTACGTGAAATATCAATCTCTGCTTATTTGGTATTGGCACAGTACAAGATGGGTGCTTTTTAAGCACCATATTAAGAAGTGACATCTTCTGTTCATGTGCTAGTAATCCATAAATTATTAATGGCTTACTATGCGGCCAATTATCTAAAAAACGAATATTAAGACTTCCTATTAAGATCACAAATTGACAAAAGAATGTGATACAGGAATAAATACTATAAAATTCCAATTTATTTTACCAGGCAAGCAGGAAGAAAAGTTCAACATAAGAGACTGGAAGCGCAATCGATGAGTTTTATTAAACTGGAGCAATTTTGTTTTTCAGTGTATCCATCTTAGCTTTCCGAATACAGCAGGTTCTATTTTTTAGTAATTATTCTTCTATTAACTTTCTTATTCTTTTCTATAGACAAAAAAGATTATGCTACTTCACAGGGAAGCATCAACAACAAGCCCAAAAGAAAAATAAAGCCTGAAAAAATGAAGTGAATATCAGTTAATAAATCGAGAAATAAATACCTATTAAACTGATGGGTACTTTGGAGATATAAATAGAAACGAATGTGCCTCGTGGTGGGCTATATTCAGTTTCAGTTGCAGCATTTGAGAATGCGACTTTTCTGGAATGCCGATAATCCGAGAATTTGAAAATACGAGAATATGTTTTTGGAAGATTTTCAAGCGGATCCCAGGGCGATGTTCTGAAATTATATCCGGTGTTTCATGCAATTTTTTTAGTTGATCGCTTTTGAAAAACAAATTTTCTAGTTTGTTTAGGGAAGTATATCCAAATAATAAACCTGAAACTTTTTAAAGAACGGTATCTCTGGAAACGAATTCTAGCTGCTACATCCATTGGTGTGTCAATTTCGTCAGGAAACCGCTCATTTTCACGGGCTTTCCGGTATTTTTCTACTTCTGCCATATTGATTTCTTCATCTTTAATATCCATGGAACTTTCAGTATTACTTATGACGCTCATCTAAATATTGAAAATGTATTGAAACATAGCTAGCTTCGCTTTTTTTAAATCAATATTTACTTTGAAATAATAAAGGAATCTTGATACAGAGCAGAGAAAACAAACCTTTTCTATTTCCATTTCATTTTCGACATCCGACTCCTCTCTACTCATTGCTTCTTTCAAGGCATTATTATCCTCCAGTTCTTCCTAGAAAAATAATGTTACTTGTTTTCTCCGCTATAAGTAGTTTTGAGAAATAATCGTATCTTTGGAAATCGAAATGCTATTTTTGTAATTCCATGAATTTCACAGATCTATTTTTCGGCTTCTTTATTTTTGTTTTAATCAGTACCAGTTTTAGTTACGTTCAATACTAAAAATTTGTAATTGGTTTCGAAGATCTGAGGAATAAGTGACCCGAAAAAAATCTGATTCCACTCTCTACTTTGAAACTATTTTTGCATTTAAATTTTATCGCTGCATTTCAGAAATTGATAAGAAACCTCAATCTCTTCGTCAGATATCTCATCTTTATCATTAATAATCCACTCAGCTTGATATGCCGATGTGCCAACAGGTACTTTTTTCACTATTTTCTTTGTTTTAACTAAAAAATTTTCATGTTTATAAAATGATATCATACAGTAGACTCCTCTCTTTTAGACCCGTTAGCGATAGAGAAGTCGATAAAATAATACATAAGCTGCGCAGTCTTGTTAAGGATTTCAGGTTTTCAAAAATTTCTATCGGAAATTGAAGCATATCACAAAAGCTCGGCAGTGTTATTTCATTGGTGAAAAAATAGTGATCTTACATGCTTCCTTCACAATCTCTTCCTCGGTTGGCCACGTCTGCTCTGCATCCATAGGATCTGCAACCATTTCAGATTGCAACAATGTTTGCAGATTCACATCCGGTTTGAATGTAGCTCCTGGTGCTTTGCCACCAATCCGAACCTGGAATTATTAACATATCAAAAACGTTACATCCTGCTCGTATAAATTCTTAACTAGATTTCGTTTAATTTTTGCCTGCAACACCGCAACTTTTATCTAGAGATATACTATAGCTAAGAAACTTTCGTGGGTGATTCATTTAATAATGAAAATATTTTACTTCTTTATTTAAAAATTATAGTTTTTATATTTTATTGCAATCGAAAACCCATTTTCTGAAGTTGTCTACACAGCCAATACATCCGATTATTTAGATTTTCTGAAAAACTTATGAAAATTAAAGTTTAAAGACCTTCTTATCAGGCGCATACGGATCATCCTCCACGACAATTTGTTTCATTTGGAAATCACCCAACCATGATATATGAACAAGACTGTTAACATTCAACGACGGTCCCCTCAAATATCCGGAAACTTTCAACGTGCATAAATCTCCCTGACAACACAACTATTATTTTCATTAAAATTTCAATTATAAATTTCTCTACATTCTTATCGCCTTAATAATAACCTGAAATTACGACGATTTTCCAGACATTCCGGATAATGAAGATTACTAACGGCGACTTTAGTACATACCGAGCATACCACCTTATTTACTACCAACTGATTATACTGTCAATTATCGTCCATTGATTTTATTTTCATTTAGAAATTGATTTTCATAAATTATATCCAATTTCCTTCGATTTTAGACGAGCTGAAATCTAACTCCGTAGCAAAAATTATACCTCAACTTCACTTTTTTCAACATTTTCAGCAATTAAATATGGTCGCATCTTTTGCATACATGACAACTTCTTCTTCATTGTACTGATCAAGCGTAGGGCAAGTAAAGCATCCCTTTCGCTATCAAAGGGCATCAGCTTCTCATCTCGAAAACTCCTGATATTATGGAATTATAAAAATTAGGGGAATATTTTCAGATCTTACAAATGACACATAAATAATACGATCCTTTACACGGCTCGAGTGAAAAGTATCGGCAATGAGAAATAAAAATGAGCAAATTGAAATTAAGAGGCAGAAAAACCCTTCAAATTCCTAGTTTCGGTTGTAAAGTCAATAGCTCCAAACTATCAACAAAGGATTACCAATTTGCGATCAGTTTTTTAACATTTTTGCGTATAATTTCTTTTTGTTTCGGAGTTGCAGCTGTGCCGAGGCCTGGTACAAAGTGTACAGTAACCGACAAACTATGAGCCAATAAGGTACTCATTAAAATATCATCTTCCGCTGTAATTTCACCATTAGCTGGCCAAATGAACGCAATAACATCGGACACTTTCACGTAATCAAGTACAACATCAATGTTTGAACAATCCGGTGCAGCAAACACATAACGACTTTTGAGCCGCTTAATGCTAAAAAGAAAATATTTGGGAAATGTTTTGCTGAAAAAGAAAAGTCTGATGATATAGAATCCTATATTTTTTAAATTAAACTGACTAAATTGCTTCAAATAAAGTAAATGAAGCTATAAGAAATACTAATAGCGCAGATAATGAAGGACTACAGTCATGTCAAAAGCATCAATACAAATAATTGTATAAAGTGTAAGATTCTGCAATATTTGAAGACAACATATATTGGCCATTTAATTATTTAAATGTTTTTTTCAAAAATATTTAATATCACTTGAAACTTATTCATCGACATAAATGGTTAAAATTTTACCAGAGATGATTTGAACAACCATTATAACTCGTGTTTCGATAAGAAGTTTCATCACACGAACATAACAACGCTATAAGTTCATCGGCCGAGTAATTCTGATCAAATGATAGGAATGTCTGAAATATAAATTTCAAAAATCTGACAAAAGAAGAAAATGAAATAAGCAGAAATCAGTTCAAACTGACTGAAGAAATACATGAAAATTGAAAATAATTCTTATCTGTTCCTATTAGTATTCAAAAATTTAAGAAGATAGTTTTAATAAGAGAATTACACTCCCAGTCGTCTTCCCTTGCAATTTTAAAACCTTCATAAAGCGGAAACGATGCAGGAAAAATCAGTTTATTAACTTTGTGCAGCAACTAAGTAAAAAATGTTTTAATCCCACATTAAAAGTAAAAAAAAGGAATTATGGGGAAATCAGTCAATACAGCAAAGAAAACGCACAACAAATATTGGAGGTTGCTGCAGGTAATTGCAAGATAATAGAACAGCACGTTTATTTTCACGTATCTGTTGAGTTTGTAGACGTCGAGTTTTTTTACCAACCAAAAAGCGTTGTTTTCCAGCTGTTGCTTTGCAAATTACTTTACCTTGAAAAATATTATAGCAAGTAGACATCAAATTATATTCTGATATTTTTATTCTTCTTATAACTACATCTCCTCATTAAGCCTTGTAATCAACAGTTAATTGATCTAATTTCTTCACTTCCTTAGTTTGAATTGAGTTTCAACTCAATCCACCATCAATCCTACAATTACAAACACATTAGATTACATGAATACATCTACAGTAATTCCATTTAGCACTGAGTTAAAAAAAAAGAAACCTCCAGCAACTGCATCCACTGCACCCTTTGTACGATGCCGACCACTCTTGTGCTTCTTATTTGATTGTTTCAATGGTCCAGCACGATGTCCAGGACCCATATTTCCAGAATACTGAGATATAGAAAAAATTGAAATAGAGCATAATTAAAAAACAGAAGTGAGCGGTACACTAAGAGATCTTACTTTCAAAATAGAAAAATTTCCTTGCAGAGAATATTATTAAGAGTGCTATTACTCCTACATCATCCACACAAATCCATGACAAAGCTTTTAACAAAACTTTCTTTCAAACAATTTTTGTCTTGCCAAATCATTGCTGAACCATTGTACGTACTTCAAAATTTTCTGAAGTTTCAAAAAAACGTCTGAGAGCTTTTGAATGTCACAAAAACTGAGTTCATCCTCCCAAACATAAAAGAAGTGCTAATAATGATCAACCTCATCTCCGACCGATATGTACAAAGACTTTTTGTGCAAACTTATAACACACTGAATTGAAATGAATTGAAGTGTATGAATAAGAATCAACCAACGCCTGTCTGACGATCCCGGAAACTTATAAAATTGAACCCTTCCAAATTTATTCACAAACGGAACATAATCTCACACACTGTCATTGCATAATATTAAATAACAGCCAACGTGAGCGTCAACTTTTCATCACTACAAAAATTCCACACAATAAACCTCTGAAACATGAAAAAGATGCATTTATTGTTTTTAAAAACAATTTTCTATAATAACTACTACAATAAATAACCGCAAAATACTTTAACAACGAAAACAATCACAGGAAAACTTCAAACTGCAACACCGTTACTTTAAAGAAAGTATGTGTGGGGATTGAAAGAAAAGCGGTTAGTGAAAAATAGGAAAAAACTAAAATTTCGATAATTGCTAAGATATTCACAGGAGATATTGAAGGTACATTTCAAGGGAGATTTTAGGAATTTTATAAATGTGAAATAGAAAACAACAAAAAAATAAAGTATATATCACAATCAATCTACTCGATAAATAGAACTATAAAGAAACAATTTCTCTTTTTTAAAAACAGCATTGAATCTCTTGAAGGGATAGCGAAAAACCGATGAAATAATATCATTAAAGTAGATTTGTCTGTTCAAACGTCTCTTACAGCTTTATGACAAACTAAAAAGAATCTTATTTTGAATTGAAGGTAATCCACTGAAACATGAGGGAACTTGATCATCACCATCCAATAACGCTTAAGATATTACCTAATTGCGTTTAGCATTTGGTTTTGATAAAAAATTTGTGTGAAGAAGCAATTTATCCCTCCACCAGACGGGAACCAAACAAAAATTACACTTTATCATTATCACAGTATATATTGATACAATAAAAAAGCGATGGAAGCATTTAGGTTAATTCTTTTCAACAGGAAGATATGTAGATATGGAAAAGATCAAAAGGCAACAGGAAAGTCAGAAGTGACAATAAAACGATTAAAATTGTGCCTATAATTCTAAAAGTGATTTTGATAACAATAAAGTTAAACAAAAACGCAACAATATTTTTCCTTCCTTGTTTCTGACCCTTAATATTCTTCGGAATTTTTACAATTCGTTACCAGTAAAATCACCATATTCCCAAATGTTACGATGCTCACGGCGAGCAATCTTTTCAGTTTCCTGATACTCCGCAATCTGCAAAAAAAATTACTTACTTATACATGTTTCGTAATCTTCAGTAATATCTCCCTATTTTCGTGGCCGTTTGTAAAAAATACCTTGTCCATCGAAGCTTCCAGCCGTGACAATTAGCACTGGAATCGTCTTAAATTATCTCGTGAAACCATTATTAAGTAACAATGATGTCATTTAAGCACATGGAAAAAAGCACGAGACACCAGTAACAATTAACCGCATAGTAAAAATCAAAATCTGGTAAGGAACCGAACAATTCGTCACTGAGCCACAAAATCCATACATACCTTTCTAGGGTTGGTCTCCTCTTTTGCCCGCAGTTCACTTTCATTAAATACAAGAATGTGATAATATTTGTCATTGATCAGATAACCAATATCTTTTTGAGCCAACACTTTACCCCTTTGTAGTAACTTCACAATTAAGTTTATCATGCAATGTCCTATCCATCTTGCTAAATCTGTACTGATAAACTTTAATTAAACAGGAGAATAGAAATAATAAGCTACCAATGAAGCGAATCTTTTTTCTCGTTTTTGTTCTGCCAGAGCGTGTCCTTCAGCAATAAGCGTTTTTGCAACGTCAGTACGAGTACCATCTGATGTTTCAATGATCGCTGTGACGTATTCTATTCCGGAATACCGATATTCTATGTTGATAAACATGAACGGCGCTGAGAACAGAATTTGCTCAAATGCTATGTCCGAGTTATTTGCATGATCAGGATCGTTGGGCATTTGCAAGAAAGCCATTTGATATTCGCGTGCACCTGCTGGCTGTGCTGCATAACTAGCCGGCAAGGTAGCCATCGATGTCACATCAACCACTTCTCTCTGTAATCATTTATTCGTAATACACGACTAAATATACGATATATGTATCTTTCAGAAAATCCCTTCATTGCATTGAACTATAAAAACAAAATTCTTCCACCTCAAACAAAAGCATTTCATATAACGTTGTAAGATTTCTGTCAGAAATTCAGCAATTTATGTAGACGCCTTTAAGACTCGTCATAAAAAGGTGGAGTGAGTGCCGAAGTAGTTAACTAATCCTAATTCTTTTCAACTAATCTTAACAATTAACTGAAAAGGACTAACATTTCCGAAGTCGACATATAAAATATCGATATTTTTTCCTTTTATTCCTTCAACGCGCGCTCGATACCACAATTTGTCAGCTGAAAACCGTGCAACGCACAAATCTCCACGCCGTGGCACATATGCACCAACTACTGGTGGCTTTTTCCTCAAATCCTCCCGTAGTTCTTTCATCATTTTTTCAAGTTTTGGACCTATAACATTCTTAACAATTAATAACTTATTTCTGAATCTTCTCCGGAGATCTCCAAAATACCCTCATCAAAAAGGTGATATAATATGACTTTCAAATTTACAAAAAAAAATTGGAAATTGAGAGGATTTAAAAAAAATAGGCATTAGGTATTTTCTTTTCAAAATCTTGCTTTTTCATAGCAAAGTTACTATTTCAACTTTTAATTTCCCTTGTTACAAGCTTCAATCGACTCACCATCATCCACTGATTGAGCAGCAAATTTGAAATTCCCTCTCTGCACATCAGTAACAATCACCTTTCGATAATTCATCGTACGCTCGGTTTTTTCAGCCGCTAAAGCAATTTCAGCTTGCAAAATGGCTTCTTCATCAACCCATTTTGCCCATATTCCTAATTTTGCCTGAAATTGTGAATAAAAAAAATTTTGCAGATTCCTTCTAGTAATTTTCCCCAAAACACTGTTCAGTCACTAGCACTGGGTAGGTTCTGACTAGGTTCAAATGACTTTGTAGAATAAAAGTGCTTCTTACATTCTACACAGAGTTACCTAAAAATGTTTACGATGTCGGTTGCTTGTCAGGTATTGCTGGATGGAGTTATTACGCAGCCAATAAAACCAACAAAAGAGGAAGACAGGCATTACTAGTCAGCATATTAAACGTAGCATAAAAAATTAGTAGGTAAATTAACTCGAATTAAACAATTCCAGAAGCTTATATGCAGATATTTTATGTTCGAACGGAGAAAAATATGAATTACAAAATATAGAGAATATATGGATGTAGAAAGTACAACAGAAAAATAAAAACCTTCTTAGCTTTTTCCTCCGCAACACTAAGTTGAGAGTAATATGCACCTTTTTCAGCTGTAAAATGTACACTTGCTAGACCATTTTCCACTAATGCTGCACTCATGTTACAAAGACCTTGTTCAGTTTGTACAAACATGTAGCCAATGAAACTTCCTGACTTGTCCATACCTTCCACTTCTACCTCTACCTGAAAAAATTTTTTAACAAGAAAACTTCAACACGATTACAACTGTTATGGAATCAACAAAAAATTCCGTAAAATTTCAAAATTCCGTAAGTTTTTCGAAAATTACAAACCAACCTCACGCTGCATAATTTTTGAACGCGTAAACTTAGCAGCTTCTTCAGCATACGGTTCATTTTCACCGATCAATTTACCACCTGGACCAATACGAGCACCACGGGGGCAATCAATACCAGAAAATAAAAAAGTTATAAGGCACGTTTCTTTAGGCACATATAGGCGTACCCGACTGCCAGATGCAATAAATTCTACAATACCCTCAGATCGACCAGATCTTTGCAAATAAGGTAAAAATTGCTTCGAACGTTGCGCATCCTGCAATTATACTCAAAATGAACAACTTAGAATTCTACATAAATTTAGTAGTTATCTTAAGCTGCTGATATTTCATAATTTAGAGAAAATTATGCAAATCGGCCAAAAAACAATAGACAAAATATAGCAAACCGATTGACTAACCCCTTGCAATTCCTGAATCCTTAAAACTGGACCTTTATCACCCAACACTCTGTCAGCAAATAGACCCTTTTTGCTCTTTTCTGCTTTTGCTTCAGCTGCTAATAAAGCATCGTATTGGGAAGATCTGAAAACAGCCATTTGTCCTGAATTTGTATTCCAGAGTTCAAAAGTGAAATCAAGTCCTCTTCTGCTTTAAAGAAAGGAAAAGACAGCAAAACATACCTATTGTCATCATCACCCCTGTATCGTACTACCTTCGCCAGGCCTTTTGAAACAAGCGTTTCAGCAACATTTAATCCTCCTGACATAACGGTGCAGCAGATTTTCTCTGGAAACTGCTCTGTTTTTGCTTGTATATAGTCAACAATAATCTGAAATGAAATGATTCAAAACAGCTGAACTAGCTATGCAACCATTTTGCAGCGTACGGTTCTTGAAATTAAGATGATTCAGTATGTACTGTAATTCTAGGCTAGCTTTTCTTGAGCAAATTTCCATCTACTAGCAGACACCCAAAAAGATGTAAGTGAAAATCTTTTAGATTCGACGATGAAATTTTGAAATGGTACTTTTCCTTTCGAATCGAAAAAATGTGCTATGCTTTATATTGGGACATGCCTGAACTTTTTTGCCCACTAATCGTTTGCGTAGAAATTCACGAGCTTCAAACAAGTAAGGGATATCGTATAGTGGCCGAAATTGTCGACCAACTTTGTTTTCTATATCTCGATTTTCCTCCCTGAAAAAAAGTATTTCAAAAGATGTCATAACATTGCAGAAGAATTCCTTGCAACAATACTAAATAACCACAAGCGAGAGATCTCAAAGGTTTGAGAATTTTAGATGTTACGATCATAATAATATGTATTATATCTCACAATCAATTCTCCAGATAATCTTTAAAAATTAAAGATACTGCCTAAGCACAAAGTGCTAATAACCTTGGAGGTCTTACGGACGACAGCCAAATTTTGATTTCATCACCGTTTTCTTTCTGTACAATGAGTGCGTCACCCATCACAATTTCAACCACTTTTGCGGTGAACGATTTCTTATCAACGCTTAACTGATTGGACGGTTGATAAGTACGCCAAAAACGAAGCCTTTTCTCTTTCGCTATTCTGAAACAACGTTGGCAAACATAAAAAATATGAATCCATATTAAACAAATAGGTTAAAAATTTAATATTTGAAAATTCAACTTCTTTTATAAACTAGTTAATTGAATGTCGAGCAGTTCAACGATTATTATTAAATTCGGAATCGAATGCTAGCTTCTACCAACAAAGTCGTTTAAAGATTGACTGTTCCCTTCCATTCATTATCGATAACTTTCTGTCAAAAAAAATATAGTAGAAAAAAGTGCCAATAATAAAACTATGCTAGCGGAGAGATTCAAAGTACTCTGGATAAAAAGCAAATGAATTATGGAAAGACTAATAAAAAAACACGATTTCGGTGCGACCAACCATTATCCAAAGTTATCGCAACGTGAAAAAAAAATTGAATTAATATTTTCCAGTTCATTCAAGCTAATGTATACACTATATTTTTGCTGAACTAGTAAATTGGTTTTTAATTAGCAAACTAGCTTGAGAAAGAAAGATAATATATGACACACTTTTCTGCAGCACGCAGCACTTCTGGCCCTGATGCGGCCAAAGCAATCGACCAATCGACACATTTTGCAAAACCTTCCTTAAGTAATAGCTCAGCAATGTTTCCTTTGGGATGTATAACAGAACCAACAAAATTCTGATTTGAAGTACTTTCCAGAATAATTTCAACATCTCTTTGTAGTAAACGACACTCAACAAAATAACGTGCCTCTTCAGCATAGTCTTCCGCTCGGCCATCCGCTCCAGCACGTATAGCCGGCGCCTAAAAATTGAATTCTTAAAATTTAAGAAATTTGAAATTCCATAAATTTTTCTTTTTTTTTTTCAGAAATTTGAAATTCCATAAATTTTCTTTTTTTTTTTTTAAAGCGATGATCTCATTTGGCAGTTTAACAAAGTGTCAAAATGCTCATAAGTACGATATTCCTCCAAACTTATATAATACAAATTCATTCATGGTCAACTACACTTGCCAAACCTAATTTCATGAAGTTGCGGCACTGACGCAAACCAACTTACTTTAATACCTGAGAGCATAAGTGTTATATAATAGAAATCAGGCAACAGAAAAGCACGGATAGTTGAACCATCTCGCACTTGCTCAACGATAGCCTTGATCTTTTGTTGCTTGAATGTATCGACAAGAGCTCGTGGATTTTCTATAACCCATTTCACATGTCGCACCTGCCAAAGGGATAAAATTGTTTTATAATGGTAATCAAAATAATGAAAAGCAAAAAAAAATTGAAGAAAAAAAGATAACACTGACACAAGAGAGTGAAAACTCAAAAAAACTTAACGACATTTCACTTATTGATTTTTCGCATATCCTCGAAAGGAAAGACAATTCCTGTCCATTAATATTTTCTGTATTACCCCACCATGATGGTAGGAACAAGACCTACTGATTTTGCACTGCTGGAATATGCTGTTTCATGCTAGGTATTTTCTTGAAGCCACATAGCATATTTTAGCCCGCATTTCACGTTTTTCTTTCGCTTTTTATTACTATTTATTTTTGATAAAATAAATAATGTTAAATAAATTCAACTGGTTTTCCTTTCTTTTTTTTAATGGATCGTAAAACAGCAACGTGAGAACGCAACTGAGATTATCAGAGACATGAAGTTAAATTGGGCCAATATGACTAATAAATTCATGAGCCTTACAAGTGAAAGCTTTTAATCTTACATGCTGTTGTGCATCTTCTTCCTCTATCGCCCACTTCCCTCTTTTTGCGGCTTTTGCAGCTTCTTGTAACTCCAACAGCTTGGCGCTATATTCGCTACAAATACGTGAATTGAGATTTAAAACTTACGGAATTAAACCCACGAAGTAAACTACAACTTTATTTATAGCCAGTAATTTTTGGAAAATGACACTTACTCAGTAACACGTCCTACTCTCACTTCAACCCAACCCTCAGACACGCATGCTTCTGTTACATTTTCCGAATTTTCAAGACCTGAAAAAAGAAACGATGAAATTAATGCCTTACGAAATCTTTGCATCTGCTTAAAATTTATATAAGTATGTGAAATTAAGATTTGTTATCGTAAAAAATTAAAACTTAAATAAAGAACACTATAAAGAACGAAATACACTTTCTGTCAAAACTCAGAAATTTGAAGCATCATTAACTTTTCGAGAAAAATTTACTTGTTCCACCAAAATATATCCGGCCATGGTCTCTCCCTGATGTCGCCGTATAATCGCATCGGAAAATAATATTTTGCCGAACAAGTTTCTTGCGCAGAAATTCTCTCGATTCCCAAGCAAATGGCTGAAAAACATGTATCCCTTGAGATGTTCTAAATTACGCCTATTACTTTTTTATTCAATTCCACTTGAAATTCCAACATATCCTGCCTACTTTAAATTATTCTAAATTTTACCTGGCCCATATTTTCCTTTTTATATGATTTAGAACTATCAAATTTCATCCTTCAATTTCGTACTTCATTTCTTTAAATCATTAACCTGAAACTTTATGTTTACCTCATCTTCCTTGCCGGATTCATTATCTGTTGGTCTTTTAGCCAGCCGTGGTGCAATCACATTACTCAAATATACTGTTACCTCCTTCGGAGGTCCATTCATTGGTGGGCCCTAAAAAACATTTTTGATATCAATAAGGTAATATAACTAGTTCTCTTCTGATCGTTTTACTTCGAGTTTTCTCTTCTTGACATAATCATTTCGAGTCATGTTATATATCCATGTAAAACAATTAAACAAGTTATAAGTAAATCATCAAGACAACAATGAAATTATGGATTTCAAATATGGCTATGGTACTTCAAAATTGCTAAGAAAATTAGTTTAAATGACGCTAAAATAAAAACTGCACAATACATTATGGGAATTCCAAATCAGCTAGCTATCATTTTCAGACTGGATAGACAGCCGAACATGTAAACATATTTGGCCTTATTAAGCTATGTAGCACATTACGACACCTCTATCGACTCTTATACTCAATATATTTTTGCTCTGCAATATAGTTTAAATGGACGTAGTGCCATGAATGTCTAATATGAGCGAAAACTAAAATTACGGAATGGAATGGATACCTGCAGAACGACAGCATCACCACATAAAATTTGTTTTACCAAGCCTCGTTTTAATGAAGGTACTTGTTGTGGCTGGATTTGTTGCTCTGACATGTTTCGGACCTTGCAAGGGAACCTTAAAATATTTCTTTTCCAATTATTAAATTTCGAACCAAATTATTTCAATGGCCATTCCGATCGCAATTATCTTGCTAGCAAATCTCCCCAACAATCATTTTATTTGGCGTTTTCCTTTTTAAGAGATATTGTATACATACTTCCGGCCATTCGTTTTTTTATATCATTAAACTTCGAACGTCGACTATTTTATTTGTGAATTTTTACCATCCAGCAGTTATTTTTTTACAGAAAGCGCTATCCAAACATTCTCCCGAGTGATCATTTGTCACATATTGCGTTTAGTTTCTCTAAGTTTTAACATTCGCCACCAAAAACATACATGACCAAAAGAATTTTTAATCAGTAACAAAAACAATTATTACAAGGATTAACAAAACTGCTAATCAGAAGCGTAAATGACATTAAATACAGAAAGCTTGGAATTAACAATCGTCTCAAGAAATTTAGCAACTCAATGTCAGTTCCCTAACTTTGTAAAGGCTCACGATAATCCCACCGTCCAACCATCTTTACCGCAAGAATCATCCCATCTCATCGCTTCCCGAGCTAACCAATCAACTCCACAACGTCGCTCACTCCAACGAATCAAACAAACACTGATAAGATCCACACCACGCAAACTTTGTGCGATCAAATTTACAAACTGTAAGATAAAGTTCCAACCAGGCCAAAAGGCAAATCAATCATTGACAAGTTTCCCGTGCTACAAATCACACGTTGTATTGCAACACAAAATTCAACAATTAATATCATATATTCCTTCAATTTATTAGAAAAGGACAAATAAGCAATGGACATTTGGGAAACACAGTTATATAGCAAAGAATAAATCGAGAACGCTGCTAATTTTTAATGCACGTTAAAAGGTATATCATCGACACAAACACCAGTTTAACCTTTTTAGATCACAAGTTAATGACTGGAACACTTTGAATAATGTAATATTAAATGATTGAACCTATAAGAAAAAATTAAATAAAAAAATGAAGAAACAGAAAATTGTGTTGAATAAGATCGTAAATTATAGTTTACCTCTGTCACTCTTTTTTTCCTCTCGTTTTGATTTTTCAAAGAGACATGCAAATTTCCTTCATTAGATTTTCCTACTCATACCCAAAGAAAAAAAGAAAGAAAACTATGTGATGGACTTTCGTAATGTTTGAGAATCTAACGATATTTCACACCTGCCATTAAACTTCATGCCGTTGTTCAACGCAATGAGTGTATGTATGAATGTATTTGCGCTTTACTTGATTAAAATGAACAATTTTTTAAAATTCATCGATAGTGAAAGAAATTTTCTTTCAGAGTAACATACAATATTTGGCAAACATTCTACTAATTACCAATTTCTTTCCAAACAGATATCCTTCCTCTGCGTTTATTCAATCTATTACGGGAATGAAATAAATTCATCTGCTAATTTCTTGATGACGAAGTCATCTGCTAATGACCAGATTTTATCAAGGCTATTCTACTTTTGGTTTTCTTCAAATGGTTCTTTAAAATTAACAATTATAAATTATACATGACATGCACTTGTATCTCCACTTTTTACAGCAATACTTTCAATCAATTGAATAACATCATCGTCCAACCGGTACTTATCAGCTAGTTGTTTGAGTACATCGAAATTTTTATAGCCTCCCAAAAAGGCATTCACTTTTGTAGCTAGCAATGAACTCACCACTTCTTCATCATTTAGATTCAGCTGCAATAGAATTTTTGTTGTATTATCAAAAAAATGTTTTGGAAGTCGAAAGTACCACTGGCTGAGTCAGCGGAAAGGTTGAACACCAGAGATATGATGGTTTCTTTAATGAGGTCATTCCTATAATTAAGGGAAAATGTAATGCAGTTTCTGGTAATCACTTTTATATACATGACTATAGCAACCATTCACTCAAAAAAGTAACCTGACCAAAGCAAAAAAAGGTATAAATGAGTTAAACTATTGGATTTTCAACAACAAGAATTTAAAGAGAGCAAAAACTTAGTTTCAATTCCTAAATAGACTCATTTCTATCAGAACTTCTGCACAACCAGTGTTTACTGCAATCATCTTATTATCGAAACGCTAATAAAATGAAAAATAAAAGCAAATTGATTTTAGCTGATCAATTACAATGAACCAATCAATTACGATGTCTTTTCTGATTTATATCAACTTTCGGAAATCTTCACCCACTTCGTCCCCTATCTATCATTTTTATAGCTTGATTCGGTTTCTAAATCAGATTTGATAAACAAGCAATATGTTTATTTTTATTCATCTGCGAGACCAAAAAAATATTTTTTTAATCGTTGTGAACTTAGCTGGAATAAACAGATAAAACACCTCATTTTATTGTTAAAATTGACGGAATAGTTAATTCGATTATCCCAACAGTGAAGAAATCAAAATCTTTATTCAAGTAAAAAGTTCAAATTCCTGTAAGGTTAAAAAATTCCACTGAAATGGAAGCGTTTTGTTTTGCCAACCTTTTCAAAAATTGCCGTTTGACAGCGCAACCAATATTTTTGGTGATAATCTTCTGCCTGATAAAACTGAATCAGCTTTTGAATATATGTACGTAGTTTTCTTTTGCCATATTTTTCCTAAAAAACTGTTGAAATTTTTCAGATGAAACTTTAAAAACCTTCATATCTTCTTAGAAGTTTTTAGGTGTCTTATAAAACATTACTAGTTTTCCTATTTCTTTATAGATATACACGAAACTTCTCAGAATAGCAAAGGAAGACGAGGTTTAGGTCGCTGAATTATATAGATGTTCGCTATTACTACTAATCTAGAGTACATTGTAAGCAGTATCAAGTGATTTCTCTAACACAATCAACACTACTAGTTTCATGAAAAAAATAAAATAATAAAGTCAAAGTCCAGGAAGGTATCCAAGTTATTTACATGACAGTGTGACAGTTATTCACATGAATGAAACAATATTCTTAAAAAAAGAATGTCTACTGTAAAATTAAAATCACCTGTAACTTTTCTAAACTTTGCTGGGCTGTCTCTTTTTGATGGTCGTTTATGTAGAGAATTGCGGATTTATATTGTTTTTTATATACTTTAGTTGGATCATGATTCTCCCAGAAACAATCCAAAATTTTATCGTAGCTTATAATCCTTTCGTCAAACTGAACTTCCGTTATTTCTGCAATATTTAAAATCATAGTAATTTTGAAATCATGTAATTTTCACAAATTACAGATATTTCAAATCAAAAAGCTTTAAGACTTCACCATTCGAATCCCTACACATAAACCTGAAAGTTGATAAAGTAATCGCCCTTATCTTAATGTCAAAATTGGAAGAAATTACAAAAAAAAAATCTGGTATAAAAATTGATAAACTAAATGAATTACAAGAAAAATTTTTGGAATGAATTACAAGTATAATTTAAGAAAATATTCCTCTAAAAATTAGAAGTCAAAATGAATTAAGTAAAAGGTGAAAAGTGAAAAAGATTCCTTCCACATACAGTAATTTTTGATTAGATGCGGATTATGTACAAAAATTTAAGCATAGGAAAATATTTAAAAATTAAAACAAAACACACCCGTATGATCACCAATATTTCGATAATTAGGTGTCGCTGTGGTACCACCAGCATAACCAACTCGTGTTGCCAATACTCCGTCTAATTTTGCGAACGTCGATTCAGCACCCCAAAAACACTGCATTCCAAGATAGGCCTTTTGCAAACTAATCATGATGTTCTTCCGTCTTTTTCCTCGGTAAATCTTAAGGGTTACGGATCAAATTCAATTAATGATCCTGCAAGAAAAATGATATTTCTACGGAAATTTCGATCAGTTTGCTCAAAAGCTTCGATTCTCTTGTCATATGGGCATTTATAACAATAAATGATTTCGGAGATAATAAATCGATTATTGGAATTATTCTTGGACATTCTAAACTTACAATTTCTAAAAAAGGCTTACAATGTCCATTCCGTATAGCCCATTCGATTTTGTACATTATTAGGAATTTCTTACTTCTTCCTCGTCTTTTTCACCTCAGTGGAAATATGAATTCTTTATTAATTTCAATGTAATCAATACGAAATTTAAATTAATCACTAATTTTTTAAATTAATCACTAATTAATTTAAATTAATCACTAATCCCACTAACGGCATGAAATTTTTGAAACCGATTGAACTATTACTTTTTTTTAAACTATGCAAACGCAGTACAATGAGCAAAACTCACAGTGCTTACAACACTCTTCTTGAACTGACCCTTTTATGATGCAATATGATAAGACATGTCATGCACGTCCTGTAACATCGGAAAACAACTTTCAAATTTTGTAGAAAATTGCAAAGAAATGACAAAATCTCGCAGATTAAACTTCTTCACTCCTTCGAGATTTCCTGCAAAATCTGAAAGTTGTTTTCCAATGCATGAAACATTCACGATACACACCACATTCACAGATTTTGTCAGTAACAAAGTTTATAAATTTCACCTTAATACAAGATTTCAGAACTAGCTTATTTGCATTCAATAACATTTACAAAACTAATATCCCAATTGTATCGCTAACACCAAATCTTAGCCTCTAATCAGATTTTCGCATTATTACAATCCCATGGAATTACCTGATTTAGTTTATTAAGATACCCACTCTTCGACATTTCAATCCATTCGCTACTAATAAATGATTTTAAGACTAACATTTAAAAAAAGCAGTTTGGTAGAAATTTAAAATATTTTATACATTGAGTACTATCACAAATATTTACCTGGAAGTAAAGATTCTGTCTTATTAAATAAATGTAATCTAGAGAAATGCAGCTAGAAGATAAGATCTAAATAAACAAATGTACAATGTAATACCAAAACCAAAGAATTGGATGATACGAGACCAGAATGAGAGGTAAAGATGAAGCAATATTCATAAACACCAAGATGATGGAGTATCTCGGATAATTTACACTACTTCAAATATTTCCTCCTAATCTAAAATGCAATTACCAAAGCATCCAACAAACGAAAAAAAAAACAGAATCATCCTCTGAAAAGTTTTCGCCAAAATTAAGTGCAGTCATACAAAAATAAATTACAATCAGACACTACACTATTTGAAAGCCAAAAAGATTGATAAAAAATTAAAATTCACGAAAAAAATTATATCGGAAATAAAGAACATAATAAGTTATAAAATGGAAAATTTCTCTTATAACAACTCTACATTTCAATTATCATTTATGTTGCAGTATTTCATATGGTATATCTTTCCTTCAAAAATATATATATGTATCTTTTTCATTCAAAATTTATGTAGTAATAAATTTTTAATATTTTAAAATCCATAAAATTTCAAAGTATTCCCCAGAAGCAGCTGTCGTGCAATTCCCCCCGCCTATAATTCCAAAAATTACTTCCCATCGCTCTAATGCTAAACAGTTAATTGTCTTAATTATATTGTCTTTCATGACCTAATTCGAAAACTTCTTTTACTCTTTATACCACCTTATATATGTTGCAGTCTTATACTAAGTACCGCGGAAAGAGCCGTAAAACAAAAATATTGAATATAACCAATAAATTCTCTGAGTCAGAAATCGAATGAAACAAGAAGTGATATTACAAATGTTTAAAAAAAATGAAAATTGGGGAATCGAAGTAATGCTGATAGCTTTAAACTTATATTTTCAAGACATAAAAATGATATGAAACTGAAAAAAATAGCTAGCAAAAAAACCTTAAACGAATGTTATACAAAGGGAAGGCAATTGTAAACTTTTCAAATTTCAAAATACCGTCCGTAAAATTCGAAATTATCCTTCGGCAGTATATTTTGCAAAAATGCTTTAACAAAAAAATATAGTTTTTTTAATTATATAATTTACAATTATGTACAATTAACAGGTCGAATAGCTAAACTTGGAGAAGTGGAATACAGAAATTTTAGAAAGCTCAATTTATTAAATATCACCAATTCATGTCTACATCGATTCATGGGATAGGGATTTATGACAAATCTGTTCAACTAGAAACACTGTTCGAGCTCTAAACAAAAATGTGGTACAAAATTTCACTTATTAAGAAATATGAAGAAAATTCTAAAATCCTTTAGATGATCAGTGAGAGGATTTTCAATAGATTTCTTTTACTTTCCCATTCTGGGAAAGATTAAAAATCGTACTTGGTGTAATGAGAAGGATGATAACCAAAATGTATAAAAAGGCAAAAATAAAGACATTTTAAATTATTCAACTGCATATAACACACAACACGCTACTTAAACTCGCGCTTTAAAGATAAAATCATATATTTAACAGTGTGTTAGAAAGTCACCGGGAAAACGGAATTGCCCCCATCAGTAATGATTCCCGCAGTTCAGCTGCCAAGCCAAAGATAAACTGGACACATATACATCACCAAATCTGAAAAAATACGCAAATCTAAGAAAAAATATATTAAATCAAACAAACATTTTGGATTAAAAGTAAGCTATAACTTTATAAAATTTATAGGATCGCTAGAATTTTTTTTCTTGTTTTTGAAAAATTAAAACTGGATCAACCGATTGAAGAATGTTATACGAAATGGCCTGAGATCATTAGCATCAGAAACGTTTTTCGAAAGCCTACATAGAACCATATGTGATGCCTGGCCAAACCGCAGACTTGAGAAATACTACAGTGAGCGTTCCTAATCCCGCAAATATGTGATAATTCTAAAACACAAGTCTTTCTAATCTATAAATTCTGAAAGTTATAAATAAAATTTACTCAAGATTCCTGGAGTAGGGAAAAGATAACAAAAATTAAATCCACAGAAGCATATTAAGACCTGAGTTCGCTTTAGTTATTTAGTTGTTCGGTGGCACGGTGTGCCCGTGCTCGTCTACGCCGATCACGTCGCTCTTGTGCTAATGTAAAATAGTTCTTATGTGATAACTTGGGAGATTGCCCCAATTTTTTAAACGAGTTAATCACTACACGTTGCTCCTGTTCCCGCAAATGTCTGTTATTTATGATTTGGGAATGTGATGCTTCTGCGACTTTCGTTTTCTTTTTCCGATATCTCGAATTCTGAAAGCTGGTAGCCAGTGGCATCAACAAATTTCCAGCAGCAGCTGAACCCGCATAACCGGCCAATTCTGAGTAACTCTTCACATTTAAGTATGTAACACTGCTTGGTAGTAAGTCAGTACTTGCTACTGAAGGGAAAGATGGAACATTATCAACAGATTCAAAATCAACACTCGGCTGATACCAGATGTTCGTATGTGCTTCAACCAATCTCAGTGATTGTTGCTCTACGTTAGCAATATTTGCCTTCTTATAATCGCAGGTAAAGACCGCATCATTCCCTCTCGAAGTTGTCGCAGTTACCACTTCGTGCTTTGAAATTTGTCTATTATAACCGATTCTCGGGATATGCATTACTTCGATCAGGTAAAATCCAAGTTTCTTAATTCCGAAATCAGTAAAGCCAGAATTATCACACATAAACGAATCCAATGTACGGCTTCCTATAATGAGAGCATCCAAAAAACAGCGATCACTCGCTTGATGAGTTGATCGGATCAAGAATTCAACAGTCGATAACTTGACGCTAAGTTCAATTTGTTGTTGCACATACTGGAACCAAAGAAACTGGTCTTCCACACGAGGCGTTGGTGGAACCACAATTATGCGCAATTGGAACTGCAACAAATACACAAGTATATCTTTCAGAAGTTTACCATATTTCGATGGTGTCATACCTTCAGCTAGTTCATGTGCTCCAGATGATAATATCACTGCAATACATCCATTACCAAAATGAATCTTCTGCAAAAAGAGAAATAGAGTAGACAACCGTTCAGATTCTTCTAATTTCCAACTATCGCTTCCCAAATGTTGTAGAAATCGTCCATCCACGTCATTTAATCGTTTACCCCATTCGATATAGCGTGCCAGACGTGTAGAGGTATTGTCACCCATGAAGATCAACGGACAATTTTCAGCAAATGCAGTTACATGTTCAGCACGCACCATTTCAATGGCCCAACCATATTTATCAACCTCAAATCCAACTTCCCAGTTTTGTGATAGCCGATCACGCTCAAGTTGAGTACCTTCAAACACCGAATCGACCCACTGCAATCGAACTGGAAAAAATTCCGTAGCATCTAGAGACATTTTTAATCGTTTACAACGTTGAATCCAGAAATCAAGAATAGTCAACATTAGAGGCCGACATTCTTTCAGTGATATCAAATTAAAACGACTTCGTAGCTCAGTATACTTGGAGAAAAGATCAAAAGGTGCCGTATGATATAACTGACGGTAAATATCATTTTTCAAAGAAGTGGGAATTTTCGCATCTCGTACATGAAGATAATAAAAGTGATGTGCCATTGTCGGAGGTGCGAGATCAGATGAAACATAATCCACAGCTAACGGCAAACACAGTTCATGACCACTGTGATTTGGATTACAAACGCTATATGGATGAAGTGGTGAACCATGTTGGATAAGGGCTGTTTTCCGTGAGTGAACACGCTCGCCTTCCACTACTTCATAAAGCTGACAAACTGTCTGTATCAAGTCGGATCGGTCCAGGAAACCTGAAATCCGATTATGGTAGTCCAAAGAAAAGGAACTTAAAAGCAAAAGCACGAGAAATGATCATTTTATGCATCCATTTCGATACCTATAAGAACTTAGCCTAGGTTCTAATACTAGAAAATAAGACAAACATACAAATACTATTTTCAAAAGTACGAAATTTGTACCATTGTGAGATAAAACACAATTTGAAACATTTGCCACTGGTGTTGCTGTACTCGAAATCGGTGGATCGTAATCTAAATGTACGGCCAACGGACAATACATTAACAGATTCCTGAAAAAGAGTGTACTAGGTTAAATTAGTCTGAGAAATAAGCATGGCCATTTGAGTCGTAACATCGAAAATATCTTTTAGTTCGAAAATATCTCTTGGTTCGAATTCATAAAGAGAACAATAATAAATTCGAGATAACCATCAAAACGACACATAGGCTTCAATCAGTGTGGTTCTTCCACCTGCGAGCTGATTGCTGACATATATAAGTTTTCCCGCAACAGCTTCATCTGCTAACGGAAATATGATCATTCCAATCACAATCCTGTTACGTTTGTTAATGGATATGATATGATAACTGGTGTTTTTGGACAAGAATAATTCTAGTAAAAGATACTTTTCTAAATAGTATGTCAAACAGTCCAAGTCTAACAGAAAATGTACAACTTATTTATTTATTGAAATGAACAAGGATTTGATAACAACTAATGAAATCCGTAACTGGAATAATAAATGATAAGTTCAAAGAGTTCGATTTCAAAAATCAATCCAAATAACTGATGAACAAAACTGTAGCATGTTAAATAAGAGATCAAAATGATGTGGTATATAATCATTCTAAGCTCGATTTTCTCATCTATCTCTGCCTTTTATCCACTTTTCCTACAAAAGTTGGACGGTGCAGCCAAAATCTAGCAATCTTAAAATCAGATTTCTCTAAACGAGCCAAACTAATAATCAATAATTTGAACGCAGCTGATTCTAGTCCCAGTTCATACCCAATGATCCAACAATTCCGTGACAACCAGTGAGGTATAAAGAGATGGAAGAATATAGAATAAAAGATGGAATAAAGTTTTAAAAACAACTTGGCGAATTAAAAGACATTATGATGTGGGAAAAGTTTTCAAAAACTCCATTTCCATGGGATGCAATTCACCGGGAATTATCAACGAATGTAAAGGTGGCCCCATTTCCACATCGCACAAAGCCTCCAAAGAGCAGAAAATAATCTGGAATTAATTAATTAATCTCTCTGAGCAATCAGATAGGGAAGTGCTTCAGTTTGAGTAAACGACTTGATTTCTTTCATCCGAATTAAAAGAAATGTCCAGTCGCAGCCAGATGTTAGCTACTACATGCCATTACCACGCTCATCTAACAGTGATGCAACTGCAAATATAAGTAAACCATACATGCAATGACGCAATAATAAGTTTGTCGTCAAACTGTTCCATCGTACTAAAATACCAGTTTTTTAACAGTCTGACAAAAATAAAAAAAGAAACCTTTTGGTTATCCCATCCTATTCTCGCTAAGGCCACACATTCTGTGCTTGGTGTGTATGCTGAAAACATATCAAAAACTGAACTACAATGAGTGATTATTAGAATGAGTAGTAATACTAATCTATAACATGGTCGCTAAAAACAAAGCAATGCACAATAATTCTATAAAAAACTATATGTGGAAATGAGCCAGAAAATCGCAAAATGCTTTTCAATGTGACCGTATGCATATTAAATTGAAATACTTATTTTTCTTAGGAACTCATCTATATCAGATAAAATGATCGACGACTACTCTTTAACTTATCAACCCCTAGTACTTTCACAATTCCCGCTATAGAGAGCATGTGGAGACGTCGCCTGCACTTTTCTACCATGCAAAAATGCAAGATTTTTTCTTCTATCAACAGGTTGATGTGATTCATTTAAAAATTTTTTTTGTGATCATACCGGGTTTCATGTTCTTTTTTGTTATCCGATCTACAATTTCCAATAGTTGCTTTGCTGCTTCGGAACAAGTCATATACTTTGGAGGAAGAAATTCCTTCCGACCTCTGAAATTTCTAATTGATAATTTTGCAAAATATCAATTTTGAGCCAAAGAAATACATATAACTCAAAGAAGTGTATGAAATATAAAAGGAGATGAGCTCCTTCTAAGGAATTTTATTGCACTGCTGGCTAATATCTCATTAAGATTCACATAATTTGAATGACTGGTTCCCATCAGTAAGAATTTTCTCATTTTTAATTACAAAAACGAGTATGGTAACTCAACATGGGCCACGAAGAAAAATATTTTCTTCACATTTCCGTAAAATTAAACACTTCAAAAAACTTCTACAAAAAATACTCCTCTGCTGCGCAGAACCAAAACTTTAAAGAAATCAAATTGAAATAGTACAAGCCTCATCATATCTTCTGTCGTTTGCTCCTTTGTTCTGATATCTGGAATATAAAAGTTGGAATTTTATTATTATGGTCAAAACCATTTTAAATTCGATTTTTATTTTGATATCAAGATCTTTCCAAAATTAGACGTCAGCTCTCATTGGTCGAAAGAAACGCATCGGTTGAAACAAGGCATGACAGCATATCAACAAAACTTTTTCCAAAAATATAATATTAAACACATATCGTTCCCAACTTCTCGGTAGTTGTAAGATCCAGACTATAAGATAAATGCGCAAAAATAATTTAGGATCGTTCATCAAAACTAATGAAAAATTTGATGCAAAGATCTGACAGTTCCAGGTGTTCAGAGTTCCACATAGAATCGCATCCAACTAATGAGGCCGAAAAAATATCGTAGACATATAGCCGCAATTATAAAGAGCATGGATTTTAAAGTCATTTACTTCAATAAAATAGCAGTGATATGGAGTGCAATAACACGATAAATTTCATAAAATGATGCACTCAGTGAATTTCAACAGCGAATTTACCAGTTGCAATGGTCAGTTCAATGCTCTGTTACCAAACGTGATAATTTTTGCTTACTGAATTTATTATTTTAATTCCATGTGATAAAGGTATTGTAGTCCATGCACTTACAACTAGACTTTAAGTTCTACTCTGAATCCTTAAATTCACGGTGTTCTCGCATTGTTGCAGCCAATTTTTTCTTGTAATGAAATCCAAAATTTCAGATATAAAAGTATGAAAAGGATTCTTTGATGCAATAATTTTGAGCAGATCGCTAGCGCAACTCTCGCGAGTGAGCATATGCTTATACTAACCTCTTATTCGAAAAAACAAAAAAAAGGAATAAATCGAAGAATTGACGAAACAAATCTCCCTTTCCTTTTTCGAAATCATAAGCAATTATGGCTTCCACTATAACTTTTCATTTTTCGGTAAGTACTATTATTAAAAAGAAAGGTATATATTGCAGTTTTATTAAGTGCGTGAAAATGCAAATGATATAAAAAGATGGACGCTGACCCAATAAGCACAATGTATGTAGTCCTCGTTTTCTGTTTTCTGCAATTTTGAAGTAGTAAGAATCCGGACGCCAATCTTCTTCCCAAAAAACAATGGAAATGATCTCACCAAATCTGTACAACTGAAATGGATACAGAAATCAGGAGTAGAAGAATTAACGCAGAAAAAAGATTTCTCAGAAGCAAAGTTTTAAACACCTATAAAAATTAGCATTCTACAGTCGATTAAAATCTTGACATTTTCGAATACCTGAAGACCGCAACATCCGACAGCATTGATGATAGAAGCGTTGTGTACAATTTCTACATTAACACCTGCTTTTCGACCAGCTAAAACTAAACCCGTATGTGTTGTAGCACCAAGAGGATCGCCAACTACTAACAGACATATATCCGAATCGAATGCTTCATCTAATATAATATCTGCAAAACGTCATGAAAGCAAGAGCTTAAAACGATATATTATTTACCTCTTACCCTCATATCAGTAAAAAATTAAAAGTTCCTAGTAATCATTATTTTGCACCCATTATATGTCCGAAAATACAAATTACAGAGTGGCATAATATAAAACGATGTCAAGCAACTTGAAATTAAATAGTTCAACACTAAATGATAATAGTAACAATATTACAGCCGAAGAGAACATTTTTCCCAAAATTCAAATTAAAATAATAGAACTACTGTAATCAAGTTCAATCAATGCACGATCAGCCTCCTCGATTTCTTTGTCGAAGAATTCCTCCAATTTCTTTTTATCCAAGCCGAACGACATAATACTTGTATAACTTTCCAAATACACACGAGAACATTTCTGTATAGCAGCCATTCCTTTCATCGTTATGTCATCAACATTACCCAAACCCAAACCGACTAGGTATAACATTGCAGTACAATGGTTTTTTATACGTCCCACTAAACTAAAAAAATATATTCATCGCGTGGTGTTAACGATGAAACACAACCCGCGAAGATAAGCAAAGCCGATTGATTTAATCTGATATGTTTACTTTCCAAAAAGTAAACTACATCCATGTATCCCTATGCCGATCGTACTAATCATATTTAAGATAATGTTTGCTTGTTCACTAAAGATGCTAAATACCAGAAAGAAGCTCATGCATTAGCGAAATTGACATTCAACATTACAGCATACGCTAAACTTATGCGTCCCATGAATGTATGCAGTTCTTCTATCGTTCTCGCTCTTACCTACATCACCAACAGCGTAATCATAATCATCGACAACTCTATTTAAAAGTAACAAAGATAGTGTATAGAAGTAAATCGAAAATATCAAACATATAAAAAGTGCCATTTTATTAATGAATATTGGAAACTCATTATTAATGAATACTGGAGAAAAACTTTTATTTGGAACAAAATGTCAACCTCAACAACCTCTACATGTTCCCGCGTCATTCTTTTACTGAAGCCATACCACTTCTCACTATTTAAACTAATAAAAAACAATCGATTCTATCCGTAATCTTCGGTATAAAAGATGAAAGCATGTTTCGAATATTCAGTAATTTTCATTACTTGCACATGTAATCCACTAGAAGAAGTACGTAAAATATGACCATCGACTGCGAAATGTAACAAACAACATGCAACTTTAGATAACAATTTATTAATCATTGAGAAAGAATTATAACTATAACGACACTGCGAATAAAACCCCCTTTATTTCTCTTCCGTTGCACATATTTTGACCTAAATTTCTGCGCTTACGTCAGCCCAATTCTTATTTTTGTATATATTGTACAATTATACAATGAGTCACACAAATTTCTAATTAGCACATAATTCTAGCAAAATTTTACGAATTTTCGAATTATGTACGTGATTTTAACAATACTAGCCATTGCCATATGCATAAACGATGCATCAATAAAACACGAGAAACTTTTCGAGACACAAGAAAACTATGAAATCACCTAACTTGGGATGGCAATTTAATTATTGATAGCAAGAGAAGTCCAAAATACAACGTAAGGAAACCTCCAATTTCAAAATAACCTGAAATTGCTTGCTCGGAATATCTTAAATTTTCACCAATTTCAAATTATTCTGAACTTAACATGCTCAGTTCACACCTAGACAAATTTTTGGATTATAAAAAATAACTTGTGAATGATCACATGTGAGTTCGATACGATAAAATTCCTAAAAAGAAAAAAATGTTATTCATTTCGCTTTCTCTTCAGAACTCTTCAGAACAATCGCAACGTGAGGCTCTTAGCAACTTTTTGTTCACACAGAAAGAAAAATCCTGAGGGTGAAAGCATAACAATAATCGGCTTTCCTATAATAACACTATTTTATTCGAATTTCGAAAATGATGAACGGATCACTGAATTTTACCCACTATTCCACCGCTTCTTTTAAAATCATGTCGTCGAATTAGATGAACAATAATTCCCGTATTGATTATGAGGAAGAGCAATGAAGAAAGCCAAATTAAGCAAAATGTATCCAAGCCTTGAAATTCAAATAAGTAAGCAGAATAGAGCCAGAAAGCTTGTCCCAGAAACCACAAGATTATTATATATATTATTGCCATCGTAGAAATCTGTAATAGTTTTTTTTTAAAACTCATTTAAAGATAAACAAGTAAAGTTTGCCTCTGGGTGTAAAATTATTCGACTACAAATTCATTTCACTCAAATGTCCTAGCTCGCATTACAGCGATGAAAGCATGGAAATAGATCATAAAACTAACTTCAATACTTCGTTGAGCAATTGGTAATAAACAGATGTACCAGATGAAATATTGACTAGTACATACTTTATTAAACGAAACAAATACAGCCGTAGTAATTAGCCAACAAAATGGAAGATCATCATAAAATCTGCAAAACTCTATACTTAATTTCTTTTAGAAATTAGTAATGAAATTTAAAAGACACTGAATAAGTTCGCATTCATGTAAATAATAACTTTCCCGGGAAAAAAGAACTAGTTTTGCCTTATTTATTAACTTGGAAAGTTCCAATTTGTGAACTGCTATTTCTTTGCTAAATATCTTACTTTTTATTGTAGAATACCAAAAACAGAGCTTCCTAGTGCTGTTGCGATTTTATCACAACATAATACAATTAAATAAAGACTAACACCGTAACATATTCTCGATGTTGCTAGTGAAAAGACTAAACCAACTAAACATTAGAAATTATAAAATTAAAATAAAAATTGGCAATAGGAAATACCTGAAAGCAAGCCAGATGATAAGTGAAGTTTGAGGTATGAAAGCACAGAAACTTATAAGTCGAGACAGTTGTGTATTATTGGCTACCAAATACAATAAGTAAAAGTAAGGAGAAAAATTATGCCGTGTATCAGTACGATACAGATGATAAAGTAATGCTTCGTTAACGTAAGGCATACCATAAAACATATAACATGTGATAATTGATGCTAGCAAACCAGAAGAAAATATCTGAAATAAGCGAAATCAAATTAAATACAGTAGTAACGATTATAGACAATAACCTAATAAAAGTTGCAAGAGAATATATTACTGATAATGGGAGATATAAAGTCAGAGATTTTACTGATTATTGTTCAACCCTATGAATTTAAAGTGAAGAGTAGGCTCTTAACAGAGGTATATTACTAAATCTCCATAAAGAGGAAAGATTGTGGATGCAAATGTGCTTAAAAGAATTTTAAATGGATGGGAAGATATAACTAGCTGATGATATATTTAACATACCAATAAAAAAATATATCCTTTCATATTTGAAATTAACCGTTTGCCATAATCGATCCATCCAAATGATAAAGAGACAGTGGACAGGTAGAGGAAAATGGAAGGTAAATAAATAATTGGATATAATTTCAAGTGTACTGCTAGCAATCCATAAATCAAGGCTGCCAAACACCACTGAAAATATTTTGCTTTCATTTCCTAACGATAATAGAGCTACATGATTTCATCCATTTTTATATTACTTTCACCTTCTTAATGGTTTCTTTTTCTAGCTGTCCTATCCGCTCCTACCAATAAACAACGCAAACCTGCATACACTCAGATTTTCCAGTGCTCATAAATTGCCAATCAGTAACGCTGGTATTCACTGGTGCCAAAAATCGGTAATTGATAAGAAAAATTGCTTATCTCCAGATACCTTGCAATCATTTTTTACTTCTCACTCTTTGCTATTATTTCAACACTTCACAACCTGAGTCTACACACCAAGAAAAAGATTGGGAACTGTTTTAAATGCTGTGAAGATATCACCTGGTTCCGCATAAGTAAATACAATGTACACAGAACGGCTGCACATACAAGTACATCAGCATTACCCCTTGATGATATTATAAAGGTTAATGGATTTGCAAGCCAAAATATTACCACACTTTTCTTCATCCTTGACTCATCTTTGTCCTATAACACTTTAAAAGAACGATTAAAGAAAAAATAAGAAATTAGATTGTTCTAAAGGAAAAAATTAGACTGCTTCTAGGAACTACGCAGAACAATGCTCCAGCTCATGAACCTGATAAACCACAAAAAATAAAACAAAAAACCCAAACATCACACTAAAACCTTAGTTGTTTTGCTTCAAGAACTACTTGAAAATTTTAAAACGTTTAACAACCTCACGAAGATTATTCAATTTATTAACCTTGCATGTTGCACAGCCATATGATGATAACTGGAAATAAAGAAAGCCAACTGCCACATCCACGGCACAAAATAAAATCTTCCCTGAAGTAATAGTCACTCATTTGAGTAAATTACTTATCATTCTTTATATGAAAATGAAATTACTTCCTGGTATGGCTTCCCATTACCGTTCAGTGATCTCATTCTGCCGGTATCACAAGTAATATATTAAATATATTAACTAGATGTCCTACTCGCGAATATCACAAATCCTTTCAGTAAGTTCGATATGTACCATAAAGGGTCATATCGCTACAGCACGGACGAATTGGATTTCTCACAATCCCTATACATCGAGAGATATAGAGATATCACACTCATTTATTACTACCACTGTGACAAAGATATAGAGATACCATACTATTCATTTCATAAGTGACTACACACCGCATGTGGAAGACGGTTCCCAATCAATACTTCAATAATTTCGTTTCTATAACTCACTAAGCTTTTTAATATAATGGTTTTATTTTTACAGTGTGCTGTCCTTTCCAGTATATTGTTACCTTAAATAACTTTAAATATTTACCAAAGTCAGACCACTTTACTACTGGCATTAATAACCAAGCCAGCAGTGGAGTATAACGATATGTTGCTCTTTCATATGGCGATTTTCCATGATAGATGTATTTCGCTGCATCCGAATAAACTTTATAATCAATATCGGTAAATTGGACCTTGAAATTTCAGAAATTTGAAATTCTATTTTCGACTGTTTTTCAAAAGAAATTGATGTTACTACTGCACAAGTTTTTTTTTATATTTTTCGTTACCATTCAAATAACTAATAGATTATTATCCAATAAACAATTTCGTCTCATTTTTCTTCTTGCACAAACCCTCTCCTTCCAGCAATGATTGTTTACTGAGGTATTTTAAAAAGAAAAAGGAAAATACCCGCAAACTTCAAATTAGATGCTCCAATCATATCTATTGCTAGTAGAAAATCTTTTTCCAATTCGCTTAAAATGAAATAATGCCTAACCTGTCGATTAGAAAAATCCTCATCACGCTACACATGAATCACATCCCTACCCTTCACTATAGATACGAATTCCCTTTTCCTAAAAGGTAATCTAAACCTACAACGATCACTAACTTTTATTGCATAAATTACTCCCGAAAGACCATTTCTTCTTGTTTTTGTTACCCATTTCTTCTTGTTACCCTAGCCCCGCTTCTTCCTGCTTCATTTACAATTAAATAACTGATCCACCAAGTCATATCATTTCATTTCACAGTTCATTTCATATAACTCAGTATTTGATTCCTTTAAAACATAGCAAAGATTCATCTCATAAAACTTCCTTTAGACTGAATGCTCATTTCTTTTAGCCTATATCAGAGAACAACTTGATATCATTTCAGATTATCAAAGTTCATTTAATTTTATCCCAATTTATACAAAGATCAAAGCACTCACGAGTTCATTATAATATCAATGTAAATTTTTTCAATTTATGCCAAAACATAAAATCTAACCTCAAACAAGTAATCATGTATACGCCCATAGTACACCAAAATAATACGACACAAAAGCGAAAGTAGTAAGATTTGCTTCCGTTTCCACATATTTTCCAATCTTTTAATACATTCCAATGTTCTTTACTGGAAGTCTTCTATTCTTTCACTTTAATTTTTTCCAACGGGAAATTTGGTTTATGTGATGCACATTCAATTTACCTGTCTAAAGCATTTAATAATTGGGAATTTCGTGCAACTCACGCAAAAAAGGATGCAATTAACAGCTCCTATCATTTCCCATTGTCCTTCAGAAACACAACTTCTCTGGAAATCTCCGTAAAACACTCGCAATATCTCCCGAAATAACCCAAATCACAGCACCTCGCAACCGCATAATGTACAGAATGCCAAAGAATCGCTTCGAGAATTCAACCACTCATTTAAGCACGATTTAATTTCATGTACATTAGGCCTGACTCATTTCTATAGCAGATTTCTCGGACTGAGACCCGTGAGTGGTGCTTTGACCTGGAAGATATAGCACATGCTATGTTATGAACGGAGAATTAGATTGCTTTGTCTGGACGGGTGTCATACTATACCATTAGGGAAATTTTAGCTTTTCATAGGGTTCTCTACATTTTAGTTACTTCAGAAAACTTTCCCCTATTTCATTTTTTGCCAAGCGAGTTTTAAACGCATTACAGGAGATACCTGAATTTATTTGAGATTTTCTTGGGAAATTTTCGATCTTTCGAGAACTTATCCTCAATCTTTTCATCTCAGTTTCTGAAATATTTTTCCCAATTTTTCTCGTTTGATCTTCATTCATTAAATTTCTTGAAATTTTGATTAACGAAATAAGTACTGTCAACGCTCTTGAGATTGGGAGATTCGAAAAATTATTTGAAGTATAGGAGACTGTTTTTTAAAATTGAAATAAAGTTCATATGACAAAATGTGTTTACGATTAAATTGGATAATCTCAAAGTGATATTAATAATTTTTTCAAACTTGTATTATATCAGTCAGCGATGTTTCAGGAACAGTGAAATATGAAATTTTTTTAATAGCATTTCCGAAATTCTTGAAACATGAAAATTATTTAAGGAAAGAATAATACAATAAGTAAATGATAGATTATAAGAGAATATCATGTTATAAATTTTGGAATTTATGCCCTGATAATGAGCTAACAAGTGGTCACGTAAATAAGCAACTAAACTAACAGTTAATCAAGTAATAAACATCTAATCACTAATTAACTGGAGGTATTTTATTCTTTTGTGGTTGATCTTTCCAGGTCAACATTCGACTGTACATCAACGCCTCGAACAAATAGTACTCTTTTCAATCCATTAGACATATCGTTTAAAAAATTCAAATATTTCCAAAAGCGTTCCAAATGTACTGGTGGTTCTGGCATATTCATCAGCACAAGCACAGCATCCGAACTACGCATCACGATCTCCTTATTTAATTGTCGAGCCCTTTGCTGCAAAAATAATCAAATGATTTTTTATCTCACTTCATAATTATAGATCTGAACTGAATTTAAATTTATGAATTTGGCTTCAACCCTTGAAATTTGGTGATTTTTGCTTCTCACCATGATTTATTTTCTCTTCATCGGTTTAAATTTTGGAGAATTTTAAATTATTCTTGACGGAAAAGTATTTCTAAACGTTATTTACCACAATTCTATAGCACAGGAAAGGACCAATATAAATTTAGAGAATGAAATTTTTAGTTTAAATGAAATGAAAAGCTGCACTTTTGCTATTAAGTTTAATTTCTATTAAGTCATATTACCCAAATATCAAAGCCAGTTTAAGTAATCAGTAGTTCTAAAGATTCTTCAGCAGCCTTATCAATAGTTAACTTGCGTCATCTACCATTAAAAATTACCTGTTGTTCGCTCATTTTCATCAGGGAACTACCTCTTACTGAGCTTGTTATTACACCATGAAATCCACTGTCTACAGCATTTTGTGCTGGCATTCCCTCAGGTCTTAAAAACAATTTTACCGTATTATGTGCTGTGCATCAGATATTTTTAAAAATAACTCTCATCGATGCGTAGGTTAGACTTGAAGGCGTAATTAAATTAAAACTTGAAATAACCCAGATTTCGAAACAGTTGTCTACACATGAAATTTCTTTAAAATTGCTTCTTTATGGTATCTTTCAATTCCGTAATAAGAAATTTTTAAGTTTGCTTGTCTTAGTGATAAATTTGCTGAGGGTGCTGAGAACCGATGCAAGTAAGCAAAGTGTATAACTTACTGATATCAAGATGTATATTGTATCAGATTAAGATTTAAATATAAGAAGCTAAGCGTCTCAAGTACTATATTTAATTTGATATCGTAGTTTTTTATTGTCCGCACAAGATTTACTGCTTATTGTATTATTATTACATTTTATGAAAAAATCTTAAAGAAATCCATTCTTATATTACTATTTACATTTAAAATTACTGCTCAAAATTTAGCCGTTGTCTGAACTATTGTTTTGCAAAATAATCAGTCAAAGATGATTCCTTACACTCCAATCAACTGTTGAATATATGTAAACCACGATTTATCAACCATTTTACAGTATCTTCGTTTTATTTGTAACGACCGTAGTTGTACATAATCTGATATAATCCAAGACTGCAAATGATTTATGGATTTTTTTCAAACATTTTTGAATTCCTTTTTTAAAAAAAAATATTATGAAGAAAAAAAGCTGCAAATTTTTTTCGATGAGTTTTAGAACTTTATTTCTGCAACTTGAAAGCTAACATCAGTTCGTATAAATTCAATTTTATATATTAAGTAGTGATTATCGATCAACCATAGAAGGAGAGCTTTTTCAATTTGCTTGATGTTATCTTCGATTTCTATCACAACGAATAGACGTAATTTCGCTTTACGCCAAATTTTGTGTTTTTTCAACATTTTTGCAACCATTAACAATACATCACCATTATCGATAATCCACCAAATATCAATCGTTTTGTTTGATTGCACTGGCTATGAAATGATTAATTAATGAACATCTTATAAACTTACATCATTGAATTAATAAATTTTTATTCAGTTTTGAGAATTTCAAAGAACTAACATATGTTTATGCACCAAGTAAACAATGTTTCCTATCTGAAATATAGAAAAATTTGAAGGGAAAATTAAATTGCTTAGAAATTTAAATGCTGAAACTGAAACACAATTTAGATACCGGTATTTTTAGCGGAAAAGTACCCTTAACAACGACCAAATTGCAGTGCTGAACACAAACGCGATGCATGTGATAATGATAAAGTAATGAGTCGGGTAAACCCCTTAAAGCTGCTCTGGAACAACCACTATGACGATATCGAAAATTAAATGCAAAAATATTAGATCAAAATTTTATATTTGAATAAATTATTAGGAATTTTAAAATAAAATTAGATTAATGATAATGTAAATTAACTCCGATGGATATTCTATCATGACTGTATTTGACTGAAAAACTCCTAAACCACAACAACTTGCCAATGCGGATGCAATCGAATGTAGGGAACTAATCTGAAAATCGATCGAGCGAGAAGTTTTTAATTACCTGACAGTTAGCTTAAAATGTTATGATTGAAATGACTTAGAATTGGAGCCCTAATGAATTGCTATCATTAGCAGAGCAGTTAAATCTATTCTCACATATTGTGTAACATAAAGTCTTCGTGATTTTGACAAATACGTTTTTTTTTCTCTTCAGAAATTATCACAGCGATGTTAACAATCGATTTTTGAGTGACAATATTTTCTGGTCGATATTTATTCGACAATTATTACTTTTTGGTATCTAAATTGTGTAGCATAACCAGATAAATCGATATAATCCATATATTGTCTTACTGTTCGCACATCTTCGGAACCGATATTTTCTTGATCGCCCGTATCACGAATAAGCGACAAACAAAGAGCACTACGATCTGAGATATGCCAACGTTGTTAGTGATAATCGATTATGATAGAAGATTAAAATTTTTAAATGTACCAAACTTGGACTGTAGAAGCTTTGATCAATCAAATGAGAGCTTTGTTCTAAGGTCCAAGGCGATCCAAATTAAACACAAAAACTGGACAATGTATGTGACACACTTCTTACACATTATTGTCATTATTATAGAGGGAAGTTATCTTTAATATTAAAACATAGTTATTATTAATTAAGGCCCTAATCTAACAATAGGTCATGTAAATGTTTCGTCGAACAAATCACTTCTATTTTCTTTCTTTTCTGTCTTTTATTGCTGAAAAAATGAACCAATTAGGTATACTTTGTGATAAAATTTTGGCCATTCGTAAAAGATTGTCACAAGGTGCAGGAAATCGTGTAAAAACAATGCAACGAGGCTTTGAATAAAATTCTTCGACCAGCCTTCAAAAGTTATAAATTCATATATTTTACAATAAATGAGATGGCTGAGAAGAGCATAATCATCCTTACTAATTTCAAATAAGCTCTCTTAGACTTTTCAGCAAAGACCAACTAACTTAAAACTATCTGTCCTTATTCAGACAAAATAGGAATCTGAAGTGCTTTAGCTTATTTTATTTTGAAGACTACAACCGATCGACGACTCTTCCATATGATAGTCAAAAAGGAATTTTTAATGATCAAGAAAAGAATGACATTTTGGATCTTTGTAAAAAAAATATATTAAATATTAATGAACATACCCGGCACTAGTCTTTTGAGTTGATGAATATAACAACATGTTAGCGATATCAACGACAATTGCATATGGAGCAACACGACGGAAACGTCTTCGATGTAACGGAAATATTACATAAATCAGAATTGCAATGGTACTTACTGTCACACCAACTAGTGGTTTACAGCCATAAAGCATTATAGTGCAAGCAATAATACCAAACATGGCAAGAAATGATCGAAAGAACCGAAATGTTGGATGGAAACTGAAATATTAAGAAATCAAGTAGCGAAAATGTAACAGAACTCCACTCATTCTTAATAAAAGAATGTGTAAGGAGAAATTCGGTAAATAATATTGAAAGAAATCTGTAAATAGTTAGAAATTTCCCAGTATCAAGAGTGCTAAAATTTTTCATGCACATTCGCCACCATTTCCTAATGATCCGATTGCTATACCGGATGAAGACCTTTCCTGATTGAACTGATCAAGCAGTCAGGATAACATATAACTTATATAAAACGTTTCTGAATTGATTTTCTATTAATCATAAATCGGATGGAAGGAGATAAATTATTTATCAGTTGTTGTAAGTAATAGTCTGAAGTATTGAAATTAAAAAAAAATATATTTATTGAAGTCTTTTTGAATTTGCCATAATACCTGGGAAAATTGAGCGTTGAACAAATGATTGTGCCAATATTAATTGCAATTAATGCAACAAGCATGCAACTACTTGCAATAACCGATATGTAATCCAAACTGTTGACAAACAAATATGGCAAAATGAGGAAAGCCGTGATCGTAATAGCAACTAATTTGCGCCGTTTGCTAGTTCGTTGATAAAAAAATCGCGGTACCGGAATGGTATGACTGGTAATAATACTTAGCAACAAACTCTTAGCAGCTTGAAAAAATTAGATCGAGAATTTAAAAGAAAATGAATGAATTAAATGAATGATTAATTAATTAATTACGCAAATGCTGATTGCAAATATTTCTCAACAGTAGTAATCGATGGTCACATTTCCTTGATACAGCATGATAACAAAAATAGTTCAAGTACAAGTGAAAATCAATTCAATTTTTCAAGATTTCCATTATCTTCGTTTTATTGAAAGTATTAAATTGCAGATACTTTCGAAATAATGATTAATTAATAAGTTATGTGAACTAAATCACTCCTTTTTTCAATTAAAAAATTACTGATCCCTATTATTTAATAAAAAATTGCTAATTTATTTTAATAATTAAATAAAATTGTTGACAGTTGATATATCTTTCGCACTTTTATTTATACGTTGACTCTTCAATGTTACTAATTCATAATTTAATTTTAACTTAATCACTTTCATCTTCTATTCCCTTCGCTTCTTATTTATGAAATGCCTCAAAATGACTTCTAACAACTTAATTTGTGCAATTTGCTATCAACAAAAAAATGTGTTTACTTCAAAAATTTTCGAAAATTTTATTAATTAGATGCCTGTTATATGCAATATACGATCGCTGCATTCTGACTGAGAAAAGAATGGAAGTCTTAATTTTCACAGGTAACTTTTAATCAAAATAATTCAATTTTCAAAAATCTTATAACCAATTAAGCAATTCCGAAATGAGTGAAATAACTTACTAAACATACTCTGAACTGCGGCGGCAGTTGACATGAGCATTAAACCAGCGATAAGAACTATTGGGCTAGAAATCTGGAACGAATAAAGAGGTGCAAAATTATTTCATTCAACTAGCAATTTATAAAATTAAATTAAATGAAGTAATAGCAATAACCGTAAATATGATAGGAAAACTCGGATAAGTTCCATGTCCATATTTATCAAGTAATAGATGGCGCTCTATGCCAAGTGCCAATGAACAGGTTAATATTATTATCAGCTGTAATATACTAAGAATAATAATATTGTTTTCGAATTAAAAAAATTTTGAAACTTTTCAGAGCGTTAAAAAGCAAAAATTTGCATTACTTACAAAAAACATTGTCAACAAACTGCTGAAAATTCCAGTAGGAATATTTTTAGTTGGTGATTTTAGCATCGATGAAATGTTAATACCACAAATACTACCCGTAAATAACGGTAATAGAAGAAGTGCGCAACCAATAATTGATGAAAATTTCACATTGCTCTGAAAGAAAAATAATTTTTGAAATTTTATTTTCACAGAAATTTACAAATTTCAAAAATTCATATAAATAAAAAAACCATTTCTGATATTTACATGCATTAATTTACTAAATTGCTGTTTTTTTAATTTAATAACAGAGATTAGTTATACATTAAGTATATTAGGAAGTGGTATTGTGAAGATATTTTCTTTATCTAATTTTCAAGTTTTGTCCTACTTCAAAAACTTTCAAAAACTATAATAAGTCCTATCTATTTCGTCTTTCTTCCTTTACATGTTCCAACTCATTTCATGATATAATTTGTCAAGTATTTTAATAAAAATTTTAACTAACACTGGTGAAGATACCCTTAAAGAAATACATATCGTAAATAATATCACGCCAATCAAAACTGCTTATATTGCTAATTTCAATGATATGATTTTGCAGATTTGATTTAATCACTTTGAGATTCCATTCGAATGCTTTTAAATGAAAACTGCTGAATTGACAATCATATATGTTGTTCGAGGTACAATTCATCGTATAAAAAGGATATCTAAGGTAAGGAACATAATGTTTCTCGGGAATTGCTAAATATGTATGAATTTCAGCTGAAGATAAGTAAGCAGCAGAGAATAAAGAATTGAAACAAGAGAAAGTGAAGCAAACTAAGATGGAATTCACAATTTTCTAGGTTAAAATCTGAAAATGACTTTTTGATCTGGTCAATAGCTTTATTATTTATAAGTAAGCTAACTTATTTGGATTTAAAAAGATAAGTAAATTAGGAAAGGATTGAAATCGTTTTGTGATTTTTATTTCCCTAAAATCAGCCTAATATGCTTCACTTATCTAAATATTTAGATGGACCGCAGATAAATTTTTCATTTGATGATATGATTAGCAAAGAAAATGCAGCATTTCTATTTCATTTTAACTTTTCTTGAGAGAGCTAATTAAATGACAAAAATTAATTGAAATAAATTCAAACAAAAGGAGTTTCAAAAGGCGAGAAATACTATAACAATGGAAAAATTAGATGTTATAAAAATAAGGATTAGCAACTATAAATACTAAAAACAAACTAAAAACTAAAAACAAAAACTAAATAAAAAAAATAAAAACTAAAAACAAAATAAGGACCAATAGAATTTGTTAATTTATAGCTTATTTGTTATCACTTTCATATTTCCTTCTCCTAAATCGTTTATCAAACTTGGCTGTCAGTTTCTGTTTGTTTTACCTATCAGACAATCATTTAGTTACATAAAAGATTATATTTTACAGAAAGTATTTGTATTTTTCACATTAAAGGAAAAGTATTTTTAACTGATAAATAAATTTTCCTATGATTAAAATATTTTGGACGAAACACCATTTATAAGCATACTCGCAGAAATGTTTCATAACAGATGAGGGAGCTGTTGCACTTATTGGTGGTATTGTTAAATAGTTAGGCGGTAGATGTAGTAGCACTGGGACTTGGTCATAATAACGATCTGAAAAATTTACTTCCATCAACTAAAATTAATTTTGATGTAGTATATTTGGGGTCTATAACTTAACTGAAGTTTTATCTCTTCACTTCCATCGTTTACATTAATTAATTTGATGCAAAATATCAAATTCAAACTTTATTATTGGGAATCGACCAACTAAAGTGTGCGATTAGTCCATCTCAGCATGTAATTGTAAGATTCAAATGTGACGTTATTCATGAAAAGTCATACAAAGCATTTCATAAAAAAAAATTATACAGAAAATCCGATACAAACTAATGCAAAATGCAAGATCATATTTTCCACCATATATTAAAAATAAGCTTAAGAGGAAAAATGATATAAGTCACTTGAAATTAATCCGATTGGTTCATGAATGCATCTCAGGTCAACATCGTGTTGAATGATCTTTATACCAGCAGAGACGAAAATTCCAACAAGTAAAATGACGAATATTGTAAAAGGTATCCAACAAACCCCTAAAATATGATCTACTTTATGATTGATAAGATTATTGAAAAAATTTATGCGTTAAGCTGCTGGTTGTTGCTTTACTATCTTTTTGATACTTATTTAACTAAAATGTGTCGTACTGTAACTACTGAGTATTGTATATTAGATACGGTGTTGTTTCCGATTTATTGGTAATGTCATGCAAGATAATTTCTCTTGCCAATGATATTCACAATTTCTAAAGATTTTAAGTTAAGTAACAAACATTAGAGAGATAAAAAGAGATTTTGCCTCTTTAATCTCTCTTAGCTTTCTTTCAAACTTCTTATCTCTCCTAAAAAATTCTCACATTTGACGATTCTTTTTCCAAAGCCATTAAACAGAGTTATAAGAATCAAAAAAGCAGTAAATAAGATAAGATGCATATAGTACGGTTTCTCACATAGTTCTTGAATAGCTTCGTAATCCTAAAACAAAAGAAAGAGGAAAACTTTTCATTTCTTTTTCTTAAATGATTTTTTCAAAATTCCGTCCAAACATGGATTGAATTCCTGTCTTTTTGTTTTTTGGCTCTTCGAAGTCAATTTCATTTTAAAGCAAACAATGAAAAAGAGAAGGAATGCAACCAGCAATTAAGACAAGTAAAAAGTTACTTTATCAACTTCAAAAGTCATAATTAAAATTTGAAATGAATTAAGAGTATGCATGACCAGTTATTCTATTTAATACCAATTATTAAAAAGAGGAAGAAATTTTTTATAATTTAAATAAGCAAAAAATCAGTTTATAAACTTCAAAACTCAGGGCTTGTGTTGAGTTTGCATCTTTTTAAATCATATTTGGTAGTTGCTGAATTAAGTATCTTGCTCAAGTTTGCAGGTATAGAAAACATTTTCTTGTTTTTCTAAAGCATACATTAAAATACATTCGACATTTGAATTCCTTACTTCTGTGCTATTCATTTCGAGGAATGACATTTGAATCTATTGATAGAAATATTAAAAATTTCACCAAACTAACGTTTTCAAATGCTCGCTTTGCTAAATTTGGCTCCAGTGGAGTTGGCTTCAAAATATATTGCTGGATTAGCTGAACGCATATTGTTAAGCATATTCCAGTAAAACCACAGTTTGCTAAGCAAAGCATCACCCCAGCTGTGAAATGAAACTTCATTTGTTTAATTAACCTTTGAACCTTAATAAAACTTGGCTGAAACTTGAAATTCAACTTCCTCAATTGTTAATTAACTCCTAGTAAAATTGTTAGGATTAATAAGCAGTTAAAAAAAGCTTCGATGGTGCTTTGAGAAATACGCAATTAAATGTTGCTAACAATTGCAGAAAAACATGTCTGTTACATAATGTGTTCAGTTATTTCTTATTTCATTTGCATTTGTACTTCATCAGTAGACTCAGTACGGTTTACCACGTAAATAATGTGAAATTTAGGATGAAATACATATAATATTATCAGATTTTAATTTATTACACATAACATCAAACTACAATTCTTGGTTTAACAGCATGTAACAAACTAGATGCAATTAAGTAGCACTGCAAATAAGATCTTAATTCACCTTAGATTTTTCCTTATTTTATCTACTAGTCGCATAGAATCTTTTGCTATTTATCACTGCCAGTAATTAATTGTTAAAAAACTGTGTTAATCTGTTTACCGACAAGCGCTACTCGATTGCCCAAACTGTAAGCAATTGTAGTAAATGGACCACCATATAAACGATCACTTCCATTTGTTGCAATTGCTGCGATGGAAAATGAGGAGCATAAAATCTAAATGTAATCTAAATTTATTCATTCTTCCATACTTCAGGTTAATTAATAACTTTATTACATTAAATAACTCATATCTTCTATTTATAATCCGTTTATTATATATGTGCAATAATAAATTAGATAGCCTTAATACTAGCAGTTTTGAAATTAGATAAAAAATTTTAAATCTAAACTTTCTAAATTTCAAATTTGAAAAATTAAAGTTAATGAAATGTATGGAAAAGTACCGCTGTAAAGACAAGAGAAATTGTAAATATTGTTAGACTCAAGCTCAGAATACCAACAATCCATGGTAAACGAAGAAAGATTACACCAAGTAGGAGAATATTTTGCATATAACTGATATAAACACCCGAGAAGACACCCAATGTTCCGCGACCGTATAATGGATTGTCATCCTGGAAATTATTTTAAGTCAATGAAACATGCTATGATCATGATGAAAACGTTTTCTTCTCAAGTAAATTACGTGAAATGCAAACAGACAATGTTGCCTCTTACTTGCACAAAAACAGTGTTAATGATACGTTGCATATTGCATCCTATCGTTGACAGAGTTTTCCGGAGTACAAATAGGAGCGAAGCAGGGTTTACAGCTGCAACAATTCTTACTATGAATATCTTCGCTTATTCATGTACTTAATAAAATTAAAATTCAAAAAAATGAATTAACATAAATGATGAAATACATCAGTAACTGATAATATTGATACTATTATTTATAGAAGGAAAAATACAAGTAGGAGCGAAGACGAGATGCATATTGGAACTATTATTCATTTTCCAATTTTGATATTTTTCTAAACATGGATCGTTATAAAGATGAACCTTTGCATGTCAACGTCATATTTCCTATTTTCTGATAAGGGGTCGAAAATTAATGAATATAAATGACAAAATATTGGTAGAATATCTAAAATCTAAAAAAATGACAACTTGACAGCGACAACTGAAGAACTCCAGCTCTTTCAGTCTATCTTGTAGTATACTTTTTTTCTTCTATAAAAGTATTTAAAGTATTCTATAAAAGTATTTTTCCTTCTATAAAAGTATTTATTCTCTCTGCTAAAGATGGTATGTATAAGCATTTATATGCATGATATGGCACAAAAAAAAAGATTGAACTGATTTCCAAACCTGTGAACTTTCGAGATCTCTCATAATATTTCGAAACATCTCCTAAAAGCCATTTCATTCCATGAAGTTCATAACAACAATATGATACTGTTCAATTGATTGCAAGACCATACAAATTTTTGCAAGCTGGTCTAATTTTTTTTTTGCTAGAACATAATAGACAATAGAAAAGCAAAAGCTAGAATCGAATAACGATGATTTACCTTCATCTGAACTCTCCTCCTCTGATACATTTTCCTTACGTATATCATTCAATAATAAGTTACTTTTTCCTTTATAATCATTTCCTCCAATCTTTTCAACATTCCAATTTCTTTTTTCAACTTTTGATTTCTTCATTCACTTAATATGCCACCGCTTTCGATGTGATTTTCAATAACAATAAATGAATATCTTCTTACGAAGGTATTTTCTTCTTTTGAAAAAAGTTCTGAAAATAACGAGTAGGGGCCAATCACTTCGTACCGCTTGAAAAATTTCCAGCTATGTTTTTCAGTGGCATTTTAAACTTAAACTAAACATCATAATCTGTGTGCATTAATGCCTACAAAAGCATTTTGTTATGAATTCCAAAATTGGCCTAAATGTGAAGCTTTCTCATTTTTCTGAAGAAAATGTCATATGATGTCATATGATTTCCAATGAATGATAACAGACAGTTGATGGTTTTAAAATGATGCATTGAAATTGAAATCATTTGACAAATTTTTCAATGAGTCAAGAAATGAAAATCATTAGTCATCCCAAAAATTAATACTTTCTCATAAATTTTTTCGACCTTATTCTAATTTTTCCATAGATTCTTCTGTCTTTGAAAGTAAAAAGTTCTGAAAAATGGCTGAAATTTTTAAAACAATTCCATCCTTATATTAAATCAAACATTGAAGTTTCCGTAGTTATTCTAAAGAATTTGTAATTTGTGCTGTTACAATTTTTTCATTGGAAAATTGTTAAGCTGCTTGATTTACAAAAAGTTTGAAATGAGACCTATCAAAAAAACGGATTATTTGAATCCTTATTATAAACAAAGAAGCGATATATAGATATGCAAATTTTCACTACAATAATGTCATGATTTCACACGCAAAGAATCCGGGTTTTAATTACTTCTTATATCAGAAAATTATCTGCACAAAACTTGGCTAAATAAATATAATATATAAATTCTAAATTAAATAATAAATTAAATAAAATATAATTAAACAAAGTATAATATAATTTAGCTGTCATCCCATAAAAATAAAAAAAATTATAAATTAAATAGAATATTAAATAAAAAAATGCAAATTGGAAATGAAAGGAAGTTATTTTAAGGAATGATAGCTAAAATTGAAATGAAAGCTTAAAATTACAAAATTGTTTCTGTCGTTTGGATACTTTTAGAGAAGTAATACTATTTCCTATGTCAGAAAATTATGTCTGCACAAAATTTGGTTAAATAAATATAATACATAAACTGCACGATTAAATAAACTTGCAAGACTTCTCTACCCAATTTCTCGTCTTTTCCTTCAGGAAACAGCAACGAATATGTCCGAAGTAGAAAAATGGAGCAAGACATGCAGCATTTAAATTTCTGGAGTTTACAATCTCAATTATTTGCCGACCGATCATTTATTCTAATTCCAGTATTAAACTGTATGGATGGATAATTTATGCTAAAGTTTAGCATTAATTATCATTTGGCATTTCCAAAATTCGTTTTCATTCCCTTCGGAAATACCATTATTGTTTAATGGAGAACGACTCAATTCAAGAGTTTATACATTTAAAAAATATATTTTAAAACTTAAATGCCAAAAACCTGAGAAATGATGAAGTTTGACGCTTGTTTACGTAAGTACGAAAATAACATGTTTTGAGCATAAGCGCAAAATACGCCAAGTAATGCACTAGTAATAATCAACAGATTAATTAAACGTGGCAATTTAATGGTTAACCGTTTAAATGTGACGCAGCTCAGGTGCTCATATGCTGCTCATCTTATAAAAAACGTAAACAAATTGACGTTATCGAAGGGCCGGATGAATTGAATCGATGAATATAACCCACCCATTGATCGACATTTCATACATTATGTAAAAAAATAAATTTCACCGCGGTTATTGATGCATTGGTCCTCGCATTGACAACATGAGTTACGGTAGCTCGGCATTCCAAACTCTTTCATTTGATTGTTCCAAGGCATGAATTCATGGCCAAGTGGTCCTGGGTAGGGTATTTGATTATTATAGTATTTGATTTTAAATTTTAAAGATGCGATTGTTGTTGGACTTGAAGTCTTGTGGAGTTGATTCGTTTATCTTGTTAAATTGGTGTATGTATATGGTCATCTCTCGCTATTTTATTATTTGTATATGTAATTGCTTATTTTCATTCGTTATTATTTACTTGTGTTCTCCCTTTACCACAAACTTGCTTGCATACTCAGTTATTCCAGACATTACTGTTTACTTATCATACAATCATTTACAATTCTTATTTGCAACTTAAACTTAAGTGCAGTGCCAATTTCATTTTTTCATTGATATGGAAGGGCTTCATTGCAGTTTGAAGCGTGTCGTGCGATGAGTTCAGATGATGCTTCACGTTACTTAGAACGGCAGCGTCAAATGGCCTCGAACGTAGTCACTGCACCGAGCACTCATCGGCGCGCTTTACGTGAAGGTGAATGGGCATGCATCGATGCAAAATGTGCATACATCAACGCAGATCGCATTAGTGTATGTGAGCGTTGCGGTAAGGCTAAGCCACGTTCCAAGAACCGTGTGGGCCGTGAAATTGGAAAAGATGCAGCAGAAAAATCCAAAGGACTGTTTGCTGCTGAAGATTGGGCGTGCACAAAGTTAGTTCTATCATGCTTTTTATTTTGATAAATACTGCACAATTCATTTAAAATGAGGCTGATGTTAGAGAACAGAATTGATGGCAATCCTTTGTAAGATTGAATTGCAATGCATATGTTTGATATGATTTGAAGATGTTGGTTTGAAGAGTTAGTGAGTTGTTAAGTGCGTTTATATGTATGCAAATTATCCGTCATTTTCATTTAGAAGACGGGAAAAGCTCTAACAAAAGCAGCAGACATGCCTGATATTCAGGCATTTTGTCGTATCCAAAGAATTGTCACTCGTCATGTAAATTTCAGGTGCGGCAATGTAAATTGGGCGCGAAGAACAGCGTGTAATATATGTAATGCACCAAAACTAGGTGATCTGGAAATACGAACTGGTAGGCTTTACAAATCCAACAAATTAAATAGTTTAAGCAGATAGGCTTTTGGATTTAAATGAATTAGAGAAATAGTAAATTTGTTAATCATGTCTTATGGTGCACAATTAGATAAGATTTGTAAGTTTAAGGGAAAATATGTGTAAGCTTAATCAAGCTGTTGTTTTTCAGGTTATGGTGGAGGATATATGGATCGACAAAATGTTGAGTATATTGAACGAGAAGATGACGAAGAGTTCGATGAATTTGGTCGTAAAAAGAAACGACGAAAAGTAGATAATAAATCGGAAGAGGTGTTAATTACTTTACATTTAATGTCAAAATCCAGTGGGATATATTCTGATTTGGATATTTTGAGAAGTCTACTCTGTTTCCCAGCTATGAATTGACAAATATGGTTTAAAAAATCAGAACAGAGAAATGCATTCCCTGATACTTTAAACGAGTTGACAAATATCAACAGATAATATCAGGGTCAGATGCTTAAAGCATACATGGTAAAACTGTAGAATCGATCAAGCTGAGACTTTAGTATTTATTGTTACGAAAATTTCACGGAAGTTCCGACTTATATATGGTCTGTTGTTCATTTGCGCTACTTTATGATGCTAGCATCAAAAAATGGTTGAGATAATTTCGGTAGTAGATAATTTAAAGTAATAAAGATGAATTTATAATGCCATCCGCAATTTCAAAATTTTTCGCAACATATTTTACTTCAGGAGCAGAAGACCACTGAACCAGAGGAATATGCGAAATACAATGAGGGGGAAAGTGAAGAAGGGAAAGAAAAAATTGAAGAGGTAGAAAGCGATGTCAAAGAGGCTATTTCTGGTGACAACGAGGAAGAGGTATGCAACATGCTGAGGTTTGCTTTTTACTTTTTGTTAGAAGTACTGTTTAGGATATTAGTCATATTAAATAAGGTATTTTTTCTCCTCTCGTTTTGTAATATGACATCATTGCTGTTTTGTGTGATTGAAAATCAGTTAAAGATTAAATACCTGAAATTGAGCGGCATGCGCTGGCTTCGTGTTGATAATATTATACTTAATATTAGATGGTAATATTAATTAGATAATATAAGTTTCTGTTGAAGTTACTCCTTTATTTTTTCTCAAAGGTGGAAGAAGAGGAGGAAGAAGACGGAAATGATGCTGATTTGGATAAATATGATTTAAGTGCTGATGAATTCGAAGTGGAAAACTTGAAGGCTAAAATAGCAGCGCGTAAAGCTGCCCTTTCATCTTCAGAAACTCAGATAAAGAGCGAATCAAGGTGTTCGTCAGAGTAAGGCTTCTGATTTTTCACGTGATTGCTAATTGTTTGGATGAACAGAAAAGTTTAGAAATGATTGGAAAATTGTACGCTCTGCTTCTCTTAGAATCAGTTTTTGTAAATGGAAGCACGTGGTTATCAATGAGCGCATTTATGATAAAGGACTATATATTAATTCCCTCAAATGCAGCAACTGTCACTTTCTTTTAGCATGATGAATAGTCAAAGAAAATTTATTCAATATAATGCTTGTTGTCATCAATTGCAGTTGCTCATGTTCATGCAGTGGCGGTGAGTGCTCGTGTGAAGAAAGTGAAAGTGAAGATGAACGCAAACGTTCAAGTCGGGACTTTGAACGTGAGAAAGAAAAAGGTGATACACGAAGTAAAGATCGTGATTCAACTCGTGATAAAGAAAAAGAAAAAGAACGAGATCGTGAACGTAGAGATGAACGTAATAGCAAAGATGAACGGGAAAAAAGCCGGTACGGGCAACGCAATAGTCAGTGCAAGTTGGTTTTTTTTGTTAATCAAGGTTTTTCTTTTTGTATTTTTCGCATGCATCAAACACCGGTTTTTTGAGTTACGATAGTAACTAGAAAATATTTCAGAGATTCTATCTGCTGAGAAAGTATGAATTTTTAAGGGAAGATTAAGAAACATTTTAAAGTAAGACTTGTAAGGAATCGATGGGTGACAAGCTATTAGAAAGCATAAGGTAAGGAAGATAAGCTGTAGTGAAGTAGTCTTGTATAATGTGGAAGCTTTATAAGAAGCAATCAGATTTTCTAGTCTTATATAGCTTTAATTTTACTCAGCTCTAACCTGTATTTATTTATGCTCAAGGCAAAATTGGCGCCATTTAAACCTCTTTTTATGATTCCGATGATTCTGTTGTTTCTAAACTTGAAGAAATCTTTTGTAAACTCACGGAATTTTTCTCGAAAATTTCTCAGAGAAAGTTCACCACGTCGATATCACAGTTCATCGGTGCATCGAGATAAAGGTCGACGTTGAAAGAAATGATCTTCATGGTGGAAATCTCGGATTCGATATTGATGTTGAAAAAAATCGTGGATTATGAAGACCTAAATTTAAATAGCCATGCGAAAACTAGGAGATTGATTTTTTTTCAGACTTTCTGAAATATTCATTTTACTTTATGTTAAGGGTTTATTAAGTTGACAAATATTCTAAATGAATCCTTTGTCTTCAAGTTGTGATTTTCGTGTCTTTTTTTGAACTTTTAAGTTGAGATATTCCGGTAACGGATGTGAATAAAATTAGTTTTTTTTGGATTGTTTCGTTTTATTTCTCTCATTTTACCTTGATCATGGCAAAAAAGGCAATAATAAATCTGAGAGTTCTACAGTATTAGAAAGACGCTTAAAAATTCATGAACAGCTTAAAAACAGGCATTTTTTTAATACAACTGTTGTCAGGATTGAATAATACATTTTTGATGCTCAAGCTTATTCCTTTTGTTATTTATTTTCCCAGCATAGTTGACTCAGAATTCAGGCTTCTTTTGGATCTTAAATTCTAAGATTAGTGCGTGTTGTGAATGCTAAACTGATTATTTGATGCAGTTATAATTTTGATTCTTAATTACAAATTAGATTCCATTCATGGTTGAAATTTCATTAATTATTTCAGTGTTTTATTAATTTTGCAGTTGCAAAAATATCACACTGTGAGATTTGAGTTATTTTGAAACAAAAACTACGGTACCTTAAAGTTGCTTCCGAAATTTGAGATCTTAACTAAGTGGTATTCAGTGCATTCCCCTGTTTGGAGCTATGTGTCATTGACTTTTTTCGGATTTGTTGATTTGGCAGGGCACCGAGCCTTTCCTAAATGTTAATTTTTTCTAAAGAGAAAATTAAATTTTTGATTCTCAATAATGCATGTCGGGAGAGGCACTGTGTCTTGTCTGTTTTCTTTTTTATTATTGTTGACACTATCATGTGAGTTCTGCGTGCTTGTTTAAGATATATTATTCTTACTTAAACGGTAATTCTTACAATTTTTGCAACTGATGTTGCATAAAGAATTTCTGAAGAGTGTAATCTTATTTAATTGTAGCGACGCGTAAAATATCATAAATTGCTTTTGTGAAATTCGCAGATAACTAATTTTTCCCATACATTGCTAGTTTTTCAAACCTGAAATGGTTATATATATTGAATGAATCTTCACTTCACTTACATGTATGCGGCAAAAGCAAAATATTGATTTAAAGTTACCATAACAGAGGAAAATAAAAATTTACTTTCGTCTTTAAGTATTACTGATGTGTAAAATAATATTGAATCATCAGAATAACAACTATAATTCGTTTAAGGTTAAACATAGTATGTAAAAGAGCTTAAAGATAAACATAAGAAATATCGGGAGGGTGTATGAACGCGAGGAATTGTTATCTAAAAGTATGTCCAAATTTATCTCCGGAATAGTGTATGACTCTGAAATGGAAGTGCAGCGGTTTGCTTGGCTTATTTAGATCCGTCCATAAAATTGACTGAATTGCGCTAGCATCTAAAGAATAATATTAGAAAGTTAATAGGGTCGAAATTACAATATTAATTCTAAGAAGAGATATTGAAACGGTAAACCAACACGTCATAAATCATGGGACCGTGATGTTCCACGTTGAATAATGGGACTCTTTATACAAATTTTTTCGTTTTCATATTTTGGGTATTCACATTTGTGATCATTTCAGTTTTCGCATCAGATTCATACATTTTTCCCTTGTTTTTTATAAACCATAACTTCAGTTATAGCAGTTCAAATGAGCGATTTACACTTTCAAGGTAGGCCTCTTTTTTATTTATTTGAAGGAATATTTTGTCCCCCGTATTGGTGTTATTAAATAGAGATTTGTTGCAGATTTCGCACCAAGCACCGTAAATTCAAATAGTGATCCTCGACATCCGGGTAAACTTGGAGACCAATCCTATGTAAGTGATATGTTTCTAAGTGATATGTATTAAGATTGTGTGATGTTACTGATGTTATCTATTTCTATCCCGATTTTCGATTTACTGTTGGGGAATGATTTCATCGATTCTTTCGAATGCTCCCTGATAATAGTGGTATTCACGCTTGTTAACGTGTCAATTGTAAGAAACAAATAAAATATGTTTGGAATATAGCTTCAGAAAGCGTTTTGACTGAAAACCCCCTCGCGGTTTATCTGCTAGTAGTGGTTGTGGAAATTGATGAAAGTGTAGTTTGAGGTTACTTTTTCTAATCATTTTACAGCTGTTTACTTCTGATGGAACAAGCAATCGAATTAGTACAGCAGAGAAGAAGAATTTTTTTTCATTCGAATTTTACCAACAGTATTTTGATGTTGATACTGATCAGGTTGGATTTCGAGTTTTGAATCTTTGCCTTTTTCTAGTTTTAAAGTGCTATTTTAATAGAGCTAACGTGAGCCGCCAAAGAAACACTTATTTTTTTCCAGTTTTTAGATTTGCATATTTTAATTAATATTTCTTTTTCAGGTGTTGTCGAGAATTTTGTACAGCATGTTGCCACGATTTCCGTCCAATTTTATCGCCGACCATATTCAACCACTTCCAGATCTATGGGGTATATTAAATGAAACTTAAAAATTGTGAATTTTAATGTTTATTTATTTATGCTTTAATACTTTTCTATATTTTCAGGACCCTTTTGGATATGCGTTACTTTGGTGTTTTCCACAGCTATTTGCGGTAATCTTGCAAAATATATTCAAACATTAGGCGCTAGTACAAGTTACCAATATGGAAGTGATTTTAGATTAGGTACGAACTTTGGACATTCAATTCCTAAAATAAAATTCGAGACATTAACCTTATTTACTGGTTGTCTGAACCTCGCTAAAAATTTTTAAATTTTAGTTACCGGCGCTTCAACAATTATTTTCTGCTATATCGTATTGATACCATTCCTTCTTTATTCTTTATTCTGGTATCGGAAATCATGTTTGCAATATTCATATTTGGATATACTTTGCGCTTATGGCTATAGTCTATCAGTCTTTATTCCTGTATCGGTTTGTATTGAGCTATTTCACTTGGATATTTGGTTTTTGATGAAAGTGATAAGAAAATTAATATTCTTTTAGCACTCAATGGAGTTAAAACAATTGATTTTGAATTCATTTGGAGAAGCTGAAAATAGATTTTTTATTAATTTATACAAAATCGCTGATTTTAAATATATGAATTGTTTTTTGTACCGCTTTTTCCGCGACCTTTTTTCACCGATCGCTTCTTATCTATTGTTATGGATACATATAAACCAGCGATAGTTGGCATCATTATTAGTATTTGTTATGAACTATTTAATTAGAGTATTGCGGCGACTGTTACTATTTTCAAATTTCAAAGACTCTTTAACAAAAGACAACAGCATTCTGGTTTTTCCTTATTGATATCTTTCAGATTCTCTGGATTTTACAAGCACAATGGTTTCGTTGGCTTCTTATATTTTTGTCAGTTACATTAAGCGGATCAGTACTTGTAAACAGCATATGGTCCGCCATAAAAAACGATCGCAATAAAGCAGTAAGCAAAATGTTTCAAGAAATTTTTTTGAGTCAGCAATGATTATTCAGTAGCTCATGTTACGTGTAATTGGGATTCGGATTTTAAAATCTGAAGATCCGTTTCTTACCTCTCTACGATATAATATACGATATAATGAAGATGGTTCATCCAAGTGTAGGATTGAGATGATTTATATGATATAACTTTTTTTTTTTCAGTTGTATTTCATTAGCAGTTGTAATAATGTAATAATCCACTGAAAGTTCAATTAGTCCTAGAATTTATGACAATCTATACGAATTTCAATGTCCGAAGCGGAAGTTGAATTTCCAAGACACATGTGTTGTTCCATCTGGAGTTTCCTGATTTGATTTCCAGATGTTCAGGGGCTTAGTTTTTTCCAGATCGTTTTGGGGACGATAGTTGGTGTCTTGCTGTTGCATTCATTAGTTGCTGTTGGCTTTAAAAACTACTATTTCGATGCATCTTTGCCAAGTCAACTTGAGATCGGCAATTTTCACTTATTGCATCAGCAAGTTCAAAATATTGAGCATTCACATGCGCGGTTGGAAGTTGGCTCTATGGTGAATAATGCAATAATCCCAAATGAAGTAGGAGTGCAACGAGTGAAAATGGAGAAGTCGAAAGAAGACAATGGAAGCAGTGAAAGGAAGGAGAATGATGCTGTGATGGGAATTGCGAAACAAGTTAATATCACTATGGTTCCAAAAGTTGCAGCAAAGATTTCGGGACCTGTTTAGGTTGCTTGATGATTTTATTTAATAGTGTACTTTTGCTAATTAGCTGTAATAAATATCCTAGGGCACTGGAATTGTAGATTTTTTTCTGAATATACTTCTGCAGCTGTTTTTCATCGAAAATTGTTCATGAAAAAATAAGACGTAAATAAAGGATATTGTAATGTGATGTAATGCAAAACAAGAAATCTTTTTCTTGATACTGATCATTTCTTTACCTTTTAAATTTACTACCCTTCAACTTTGAATACTGTAAACTTACGTTTATGGTGCTGCTTTTTTCCAGCACATTATATTTGAACGGTTTTGTTATGAAAACTTCGGGAGTCAGCTATCCTTTTGAGGACTTATCAGTTAGCTATTAAAATAATCATCTCAATCATCAGAACTCTTGTATTTTTATATCTCTGATGTTTTTAATTTATTTCGTCTCATTGCAGTTGAACAGTTGGCAAATAGATTAATCATTAAAAAAAACTGAAGTTTTTTGTGCAATATGATTTGTTTCAAAATGCTGATTATGCACAGTTTCTATTCTATCATTTAGAAGGTATCAGATTGCCGTGTTCTCCTGCTTCAGCAATGTGGTAGATTCATCAATTGAATTGGAGGCATTAATTTGCCACAAATTCAACAGTTTTATTTTCTTACAGTTAATCACTAAAAGGTTTTCAAAATTTGCAAAGAACAAAATGTATGAATCAAATAAGTGCAAACTTAGATTATTTAAGTAACTGGCTTTAGAATAAGCTTTTTTTTTATATTGGTGGCAACTGCCTATCTGTTATGAGGATGGATAGAAATCTATGAAGAATGATAAGATTCATTCTCAAGTCCATTATTATTTGGAATGATTAATGATTAGTATATTCTAATAGTCTGAACGTGGAATAATCTTGAACCATAAAGTTTTATTATATGTTCTTGGGAATAAATAAGTGGATGATGAAAATTGGAGATTAAATGGCAATTATAATTGAAATGCCGAAGTTTTTCGGTCAGGTTTGAAAAGTTCATTGTCAGCAGAAGAAGATTTCATAATTTTTGAGTAACAACCGAATATCACCCAATGACAACACATAATCAAAAGAAAAGAAAAATATATGATATATACGAAGTTCAAGTAATGATTTTATTTACTGCCGAAGGATGGTTTTACTGAATTCGCCACATATTTTGATGTCAAATTTCCATTGAGAAGGATTATGTTGCTATTTTGTGTGAAATGAAACGAACATTAATTTGAGCTAAATTAATAAGCGATATTATGAGGAAAATCAATGCGAAATTTGAGTTGGGAAGGAGATCTTTTTTGCAAAATTCAAATCAACTTCAACTTAGTAGTTTGCAATCTATTATTTCTTCATTCATTTTTTTTTTCATAAAATTAGAAATAGTGATAAAAAAGATGAGAGTATAAACTAAATCATAGTTCGAAAAATTTTACTCAGAGTTTTGATTTTCTTTCATCTTTAATGATATTATTACTGTCAGAAGTAAGTATCGTAAATGACAGTCGATCAAAACAATAATCACTACTCAATACAACATTTCACCAGTTCCATATGAAATTATCAAGACATTTATGGTTCAACTGTCAATTAAAACGATAATTGGTTTGTAAACAAATTCAATAATAACTTCATGTAAACAAATTCAATAATAATAACTTCATGAATGGATGAAAAAAGTTAGCTAACTTACGGAAAAAACAAAAGTAGTATGAATTAAAGGGTATGATATCTTTTATGATAATTTTGTGATAATTTTTTCTTTTATGATAATTTTGAAATTGAAAAACTGATTAATAGATTTACAAGAATTTTGCGCCTAAATTCCTCATTTATTTTGATTTTTTTTGAAATTTTCACTTTATCTTTTTCGATATCGAATTTCCATCATTTTCCATAACAAACGATTTTTCATAAGCAATGTGATATGTCGTAATATGCCGATGAATTTTATTATAATATTGACATTTATCATAATTGTACAGTTAAGATTATTAATATTAATTAACTTTTTCGATTGAATTATTAAAATTGAGTTAGGATGGTTGTTTACAGTTTATAGTTTAATGTGAAATTTATTTCAAAGAGAGAAACTTACGAAATTTTCATTTCTTACTTTTTGAGTAAAAGAAATACGCGAAATGAATTTATATATGTTGTCAGAAAAAAAACGAATACTTTGAAGTTTAAAAGGCTTTTCTTTCGTTTAATAATTACAGCTAATATAAAGACGTTTGCCGGTATTATCAACTGATAGTAACATCGCTCGATTATTCACTTTTTCCAAGTGTATTTTACAACCATTTGAATTTTGTAAATCATAAATGATCGCATTCTGAAATAAAATATTAATGTTGTAATGATTTCTTTTGCGCATTATGAGCAAATAAACGATCAGAAAGTAATGCTTATTCCTCCTCAATTCAAGTCTATTTCAGATTTTTTTAATGCTTTTTTAAAATTGCGATAAATTTTATTCAAAGTATTTATGGTTTCTTTTTCGGAAGGCAAAAGAATACTAATTAAAATTGTTTTTAATCAATAACAAAAAAATTGTTCTAAAAATTCAAGTTTTCTTTGTTTTTCAAATGAATCATTCTAATTGCCAAATGTTAGTAATAATTAAAAAAAGAGTAAAAGAAAATTGAGAAATAAAACAGACCGGATCACTTTTGGATTGTAAAATTGATAAGATATTATTGTTGCCAAGATTGAAATTAGTTTTTATACTTCCATGAAATTCATCGGCTAATTTTTCACTTATTGCCAGTGACTTAGAGCTTGTATTAGTTGCAGTAGTGCTTGGTTCTTCATTTTCTGATACTTTGCTACTATCTGTTACGGAACTGAAACTTAAAATCATCAACAACTAGAAGTGTAAGTGATTTAATTAGTTAATTGATTAATTAATTAATTTATACTTATTAATTTACATATCTTAGATCAAACAAATTGCTTCAATTTTCTACTTTTAATCTCTCTTGCAAATATATAATATTATACAAATATATAATATTATACAAATATATATTATACAAATATATAATATTCAATGATCAATTATTAATTTATTCATAATGTTTTTATTAAGAATAAATAAGAAAGAATGGCTATTAAGAAAAATTAATAAATTAATGAATTAATCGATTCAATAATTTTTCATTTCATTATTTCGTTTTCATTTTCTTTTCAACCTAATTTAATTCAATTATTTTTAGTAAGAATAAAATTTACTAAACTTACTTCATCAATTGACAGCTTTCATTCTGAAAAAGAAAACGAAATATTTGATATTACAAAATCTTATTGGTATTAATAACTGTGATAGTTAAAGAAGTATACTATTAGGTATAATAATTAGAGAAGTAATTCAGCTTAGCATAAAATTCCTAAACTCATAAGTAACATTCTCCCTTTTTCTGATATAAATTTCATTTCAATCAAATATTATAATAAATAAAATTTCTTTCAATCTATTATCATTTACTATGAAAATATCAACCAAAATTTCATTCGATTTTATTTCATCCATTAACTTAAAAAGAATTCTTAACTATTAAATAATATATTTCAATTTTCTTTTCATTTGATATCAACGAGATTATATTTAACTATAAAATTAATCTTTTGAATAATTTATGAAAATGATCAGATCGATTTTAAATTATTTACATTGGCACATACCAAAGATTCCGAAATATCTTCACGATGTTGAGAAATATTCTTGAAATTTATTGATTTACTAGAAATATTGCTAAATTTATTGCGCATTATATTACAATTAGAAGAGAGCAATTTTAAGAAATTCAATTAAAAATATTAAATTGCTAATCAATAATATTTAAGTTATTATTGAATTCGTTGTACATTCGTAATGTTAAAAAGTTGGAATAACTAGAAATAATAATATATTATAGTTTAAAACTAATTTGTAATTATTATTTTTTTCTTCTAAAGATTATTTTTCATTCGTATCAATCATTTCAAATTTTCTATAAGCTAAAATTCAGCCATCAAAAACGCTTTAATTTTTTGAGATGATAAGAGTACAAAATAATTCTAACTACTTGCAAAATTTCCTAGCTTTGGTGATCTGAGACTAAAAAGGACAAAAAGTATCACACTGAATTGGAAAGTTATGCCTACTAATCCTGAAGCTTTATCCGGAATCATTATTTAACAGGACTGAATGGATATATAATGGAATGTATTCCTTAATATCTGGGCGAAATAATAAGTGAAACAGATTTAATAAAAGATATAAAGCCTGATTCAAATTCAGTTCTTTATTTCGGATCAGATCTAGTATAATCTTATTGCAACTGTTTAATTTTTTTAGAACCTAAATTAGCTAATGATTTAAATTGAAAAATAAGAAATCCAGCAAAAGATGCTTTCACTTAATTTTTGTTGTACATATAAATCGGAAATTATAAGACATCTGATTGTATCATTTAATTTAAGAAAAGTATGTATTTGTAAAAATGAGGATGATAATCTGCTCATATAGTGAATTTTATATGTTAAGGATAACGAAAGCTATAAATCAAATAAGCCAATATTGGCCTAATAAAAATTGGTCAAATCGAGAAGAAGGATTGATCGAATGAAAGAAAGTAAACATTTCATACCTTTTTTCCTTCTTCCCAATTAATTCTTTGCCTTTCTGCTTATTTTGACTTTTCACCTATAAGCCAATCAAATTATTAACTATTCAATTGATTAAATTTAATTTAAATTTGATTAAAACATGAAAAAATATCAAACTTTTCTAATGTCTTCCAATTTCTCCTTCATTCCATTCTTCTCTTTCTCTATTTGCCACCTCTTTTCTCTATCTTTTGATTTTTTTTCAACAATTTGTTCAGTGTAATCTTTTTTAGCAGTTTGTAATCTGTCCGATGAAATCGATTCGCCGGAAGCTTTTACGTTACTATCCTAAATATCCAAATTTCTCTTATATTTTTTATATCCTATAATTTTCAGCAAAAATAAAGTTTACATTTAAATGTAATTAAAATTAAGGAAAATGAATAACGATAGTGCTTAATTTATGAGGAAAAAAGAAACTCTCAATTTGAATTGTTTAGGATTAAAAAAAAAAATAATTCTGTTGAATTTTTAAAGATATTGTCGTAAATCGTAGTAAAGCAAATCACAATGTTAATAACAATGTGAATTAAATTGAATTTAATATTTCATTTATTATATCAAATTTTAATTTTAACTTAATATAGGAAAGTACCAAATCGAGTGAAGAAATGCTTGATGATTGGGAATGTTGCACCGGATTCTGATATCTTTGATAATTTCTCAATTTTTCACCTAATTTCTTGAAAAAAGCTGTTGTTACTTTCCTGTAATATATCATTGGAAATATGATAAATAGATTAAGTGATTATTCTTTTTCTGACTTTTCAAACAGTTATATTTAACACAATAACAAATTAGAAATACTTAAGATACGTACGTTCTACCTATTCGATCCTCTGCAGCTTCGTAACTGGTCATTATAATTTATCACTTTATTTATTTGTTTTTAGCTTCAACTAATCTTTGTCAACAACCGTTTATGATTAATTATTTTCGTTTAAATATGTATTTATCCGATAGAAATTTCTTATAAATTTCTTGTAAAATTAAATTAAATATGTAAATTTTAATCAAAAAAATTTTCAAATAATATTTTATAAAGAAATAAAAATTGGAAATGATTTATCTATCATTTCTCAATGATGTAAGAATAGAATAAATGATTCATTTTTTATCCTACGATTTGATGCCAATCTACAAAAGTTTTCGATCGCATTTCTTGTTTTCAATAAAATATTAGTTATTGATAATATGTAATTTAAGTATGGAAAATCGAGATTGCAAAATCAGAAATACATTATAATTAAGTTCAGAATCCAAATTGTAATAATAACATTTTATCTAATTGTTGTATTACTATCATTATTATTACTGTTATATTACTATCATAGTATCCTTAATGGGTATCAATCGTGGTTTTGTCGTGAAAAATTTTTTAAATTGAGTATTTTATTGCTTTGCAGACAAATCTTATAAAAGTTTATTCTATGTGGAAGATGAGATTTTATTCATCCTGACAATGTTGTAAGACGATATCAGAGAATAACAGAATAGAATCAATAATTGTTCAATAGTATTCTTGGTAGCAGTACTGGAGACCGTCCGTATTATCTAGTACAAAAACAATACTCTTTCTAATGTGAATGATGACATACTACCGCATCGAGTTGAGGCCCACTATTTTTGATGAACAAAAACACTCTGTGATTAAAGAGTGTTTAACATTTTGGAATTACCAGTGAACAAATCACCTTATTATTATATTCTTTAGACATAAAACAAGGTAAATAAACAAAGGACTAACTTAACATTTGAAATAATTTAACGCATTGATAAGAAGTATTCTTTATTATATAAGTTTACATTTGAATTAATTTATGAAATGCTTAAGACACAAGTAATTTGCTAGATTTTTAAGAACACATAAGTTTTATGATTGAAAGAATTTACGTATGAATTGAATTAATGATAAAAATAAAACGAATTTCTGGAATGCAAATACTATATACTTTAATTATTTCATATAAAATAATTGTTCTATAAGATTATTTCAGCTTTATCGATAGGCTTAATAATAAAAATTTATTAGATATTGAAATTTTAAAACTTAAACCTTAATCTTTCCAAAGTAAACAGACAGTGAATGTTATCATTTAATCACTTAAATGAAATCATTCATTGATTTATTCGAGTAACGATTGATTAAAATTTTTGTTAATTTTTATTCGATTTCCTTTCTTAAAATTGCTTCTCTTTTTCGAACAGTTTTATTAAGCAAATATCGATTACGTCTTATTTTCGTATTTCGAATATGAGTGAGATCTGATTTTGATGATGGATAGAAATATTCATCTGATAGTAATGATTCTGATTCTGCTTCATACGGTGTATATATTTCTGCCTCTTTAAAACCATACAGTTTTTCTAGTGGTGTAACCGATTCACCATAAGTATATGGTGTACGCTTAGGACAAGGACAGTATCCGACATCATTACCTGGTATCCCTCGCTCACCGGACTAAAAATATGACACTATTATTAGTTTCGAAAATCATGCAACGAGATATTGATGATATTTAATAAATCATTCTTATCACTTTTTTATACATCTAATCATTTTTTTCAAAACTCATCGTGTTGTGCATATGGCATTATAGAAATAACATAGTCATCGTTCTATTTGCCAATTAAAAAGAACTAATTATTAAAGTTGCGAAACGAATAAAATAATCGCAGACCTTTCCCTGTAGTCCATCTTCTCCCGGATATCCTGGTGTGCCACAAGGTCCCTGCTTCCCTGCTAGGCCTTCGTTTCCTTTCCTTCCTGGTTCACCACTTTCTCCGGGCAAACCTATTAAACCTTCAGGTCCAGGCGATCCTTTTGGCCCTGGTCTACCGCGCATTACCATTGTTGATTTACCCACTTCTCCAGGTGAACCAATTGGTCCAGGTAAACCTGAATAATTTGACTATAACCAACAAAAAACTGTTTTATTTCTCAAATGAATATATGACTGTTTGAAGTTCGTTTAAAACTTACCAGTTGGACCTTGTTCACCCACTGGGCCCTGTTGTCCAGGCATGGCAGATATAGAAGAACTAGCGGGTATTCCAGGTATTCCTGGAGGTCCTTCTTTACCAATTGGTCCCGGTTCTCCAGGTGGTCCCTCCGGTCCTGCTGGACATTTTATGCACTTTTTATATTCACTCGTTTCCGATTTATGCAAAATAACCGTACCGTTTAACCCCGGTCTACCCGGTAAACCCGGTTCTCCATCAGCTATAAATATAAAAAATTATTATTTACTACTTTTCAGCCTTAAATTTCTTAATTTTTTTAAATTTCCAATTTGATATTTTTGAGTGACATTAAATTTGGCCAACAATTATTTTTAAACATTTTAAATTTATCAACGCTATCAATGTCTACTTTTTTAATTAAATTAAAGGAGAAAACAATTCCTTTTAAATTATTTAATTTTTCTAAGTTTCTAATTTCATATTCTTGTATGATTTCAATTTTAGTCAGTAACAATGAAAAGTAAATTATGAATTTGCCTCGCATTATCAAATTTAGTCACAATATAACATTATTCATTGATTAACAAATAAACTTACTTCCTGGAAAACCAGGTATGCCTGGTGGACCTTGTGGACCAGGTAGACAAATATTCGTTTGTAGTGCACATGCTGTAAGAAAAGTTTACTATCAAAGAAACAATATATTATTTATTATTTCTAAAGCTAATAGAAAAAAATTTTAATTTTCAAATCAAATTAGAAATTTAGCAACTTTCTTACCACACTGTGCCTGCAAACGATTATTATTATAATTTGCTTGCCGATGAATTCGTTCTGATCTTAATTGTGATAAGGTCGATTTTGTGGTACTATCCATATATCGTCGATTCTCTATCACATGATATTTCATCATCTCCGTCCATGCATCATTTGCTATCGTCTGAAATGTGCCCAAATCACTATCCTTAAGTTAGCAAAAACATTCATTGCAAGAAGTAATAAATTATAAAATGGCTTAATGAATTACTGAAATTTCCTACTAATTAAGAAAAAAATTTCATTTCTCCTTTTTAAAATAAGCTTATTTATTTTATAGAATTTACTGCTGCAATTACAATTTGCAGAAGGATAACAATGGAATGATAAAATATCAGTATTTTTTTCAGTGTAGAAAAATGTGGTAAATTCAATAAACAATATCAGGAAGATCATTTGAGAGTATTGTTATTTCATAAATTACACTTAATATTTATCAAAGTAATTAATTACACTCATTTAGAATGTATACATTAAAAAAAAACAAAAAATTAAAATTATCTACCAGATGATGTTATTAATTTTTTTGAACAAAATTTTTTATTACCTTAAATTTATCGCTACCATCGAGTATTTCACTGTATAAATCATTAATATCCATAAATAGCATTGCACAAATGATCAATGATCTGATGATCGCTAAAAGATTAGCAATTGATACAGCACAAACCCAAAAATATGCCGTTTTCATCATACTGAAATTTTTTCATTTTTAAAGATAAATTTTAGTAGAAAATTTTCATTGAAAAATGAAAAACTTTTTTAAATCTTTCTTTGAAAAAGTAGTAAGCAAAGGCAGTCAATAATTTAATTTATTGAAAATCTCAAGAATGAGATAAAGGAATGCATAATGAACGATTTCAAATCGATCATAATATTTATAAGTTTAGACTTCAAAAAATTCAACAGAAAATTTGAAATGTATTTTATAATTATTAGAATTATTGAGTAATATGATCGGATAATAAGAATGAATCGTTTCTTATCTTAAGATTATTACATGTCAAGAATAATTTGCTATTTAATTATTATAAATATTACTGTTTTATTATTATTATTATTAAAAAAAATAAATAAAAAGAAGCCCAAAAAATTTTCGAAAAATTTTGCTAATATTTTATCAAAATGAAAGAATTAATTTTGAATAAATTCCTTTAATTACAATTGAATCATATTATAATAGATATGTCATATGGGTGTACTGACGAACTTTTCTTCAGCTAAGTGCCGCAGTTCTAACTACTGGAATAAGAATACAAGTCCGCAAATGATTAATGAGTAGATATGATAGTGGAATACATTTTAAAGGCGATAAACCGGAATAATTAGCCATCTGTACCATTACTGCATTTGATTATGTTATTTCTTGAGAGTTATCATTGCTAAAATCACCAATTGACTATATTCAAATTCCGAAGTTTAATTAAAATTATAAAATTATAAAATTGCTACGTTTGATAAAAGAAGAGTTGATAAGAAAGTAAAGATAAGGGAATGAAATGAGAAATATTAAGAAAAAACAAAGGAAAAATAAAATGTGGAAATTTTCTGGAAAATGAGAAACCTTTTCAATATGAAATTAGAGTATGAGAGATTTATTTGTTCGGTTCTTTCTAATATCAAATTTAAAGTTATCTATCAAAATTAACTTTTAATTTGCCAACTTTTTGTCTGACCTCCAAACATTGAGTAAGAAAGAAAGGGAGAGAAGAAAGAGAAAGAGAGAGAGAGAGGAAAACTTCTTCGTTGAATGAATGAATTAAAATGAGAAATTGAAAAATTTTTCAACAACAAACTAATTTTTAATTTCCATTTGGATGAGCGCTTTCCTGCTTGTAAACAATAATTTTAATTTTATTATTTCTAATGCTAATAGAAAAAAATTTTAATTTTCAAATCAAATTAGAAATTTAGCAATTTTCTTACCAAACTGTGCCTGCAAACGATTATTATTATAATTTGCTCGTCGATAAATTGTCAAAAGTTATTCAACAAATTTAGTTTTCATCATTTCACTGTATAAAATTAACAATGGAAAGAAAAATATTTATATTAATCAAAGAAATTTGATAAATGGAGAAAAGAGGGATTTGAAGTCGAAAAAGTTAAATATTAAGTTGATGATAATTAAATTTGATATAATTTTTCAGGTGTCAATGCTTAAATATCACCTCCTAATTAATTGATTTAACAACACAATTAGAATTATCTAATTATCTCTTCTATTCAATTAATTCCAATTTCCTTTCTTCTCATTCAAATCATTCATTTTGTAAAATTTTATAAAACAATTTGTGCCATAAATATATTTTAATACTTTTGAAAGTATATTATTTTCTTTAATAGAATATAATAAATTTAGAAATACTTTTTTCATAATATAAAAATTCATTTCTGTCATTTTTGATTAACTTAATTCATGTCCATGTATCAATCAATTTCATTGGATTCTGAATAAGACAAGAGATTTTGAATATTGGATTCTGAACGTAAAAAGAAATGAAGGAAAGACAGAAATAGTAATCTTTGTGTGAGCGTCTTATTCTTAAATACGCTTTTCAAAATTTAGGAAACGAAAATTGATGAAATGCGGTTTGATACGATATATATTCAAATTTTCGGAAAAAGCTTGAAAAGATCGTATTCTCAGAACCGGATCTTAATAATTCACATCAGATATTTCTTATTGATGACAATTAATTGGCAATTACGCTGAACTGAATTTGTCTTGTCCGAATGTTCTTCTTTTGAATACTACAGTGATGATAATTTCAACGACGTACATCGTTATTTGAAAAATTACGAATTGAAATTTGAAATCAAATCTTTATTATCAAAGTTTAGTATTCTTATAAATTTGATAGTTTTTTAAAGTCTCTTAAAATCTTTAATCTATCAATTAAACAATTTCTCTCTCTCTCTCTCTCTCCAATATTGTCATTTAGGTATTACAATGAATTAATTTGCATAGTTCAAACATGTAGATTTTTTTTTATTTATTAAACAAAAGAATTAAATAATGGATAGGTTATGAAATTGCACTGATAGTAATTATGCAAATTAATTACTTAAAACGAAGAATTGAAATAATATCTTTTCTTGTCTTTTTATGTGTTCAAAGTCTACATTGACCTTTCCAGTTTCATTATATTTAAAAAAGGTTTACACATTAGCTTTTGAACTTCCTTGTTCCATCTCAAATTGAAAAATGTATGGAAATAAAACCTAAGTTCATTTAGCTTACCGATAATAGTCGAACTATCGATATCAGATAAAGAATGAGTAATTTCTTAGCATGTATATATTTACTACTAACTTAAAAATTAGTATTACGAAATCTGTAATTCCGAGATCTCTGTTTACTTGTAATTCCCGAAATCCAACTATGAACAGATGTTTTTCTCATATCTATTATATTTTTCCGGTAGTAAATATAAAATTTTTACCTTTAATAGAGTTGCTCAATTAAATCTAATTGCTTGAATTTAAAAATAAATAAAATTTGTTGTTGGTAGTGACCAATAAGAAAGAAGAGGAAAAGAGAGAAGGAAAAAAACCTGTCTTTATAGGCCATTCCTATTTTTGAGGAAATCTCCTCAAAAATGTTAAAGGGCATTTTGCACCTGTAATAATCTTTCTCATTATTTGATAGCAAACAAATATAATAATTTGCATATATCATTGAATTCGATCTCGTTTTTCGTATTTAATATTTATTAAAATTTGAATAACAATAATTTCACCTGGTGAAAATTAATTTATTAATAATGAATAAATGAATGAGACATTTTTTCAGTTATTTCATTCATCAATTTGATCATTATCATTTTTTGATATGATATGATAAGAGATCGCTGAACTATTTGAAAATGACAAGTATTGTCAATAGCTTAATAATAATTATTTAAATTTATAGTTAATTCATAATTTTATATCAATATATCATTTGAAGTAATAGTAAGGAATCAATACAGGATATTTTGACATGTTATATGGCGTGTAACGTGAATTTAATAATTACACAAAAACTATTACTTTTACATATTTTTGAAGAAATTTCAATTTATCGCTAATATCTTGTACAACTACTGTTCATGAAGAGAATGAGAAAAAAGTTATAACTTAGCGGTATTTATATTTACAAAAAATGCATACATACATTTTGGTATTTATAATTTCTAAGTTATGAATACCGGAATAAGAATATAAGATATAGCGGGACGGGACGAAAGGAGAATCAATCAATATGAGAAAATCATAGTTAAACAGTAAATCAAGAAATAACAAAAGTGGAAATAGAAAAAAAAGAAAATAGAAATCATCAAAGTGATATTACTACAATTTATCGAAAAATCAAATTATGAATTAAAATTGATTTCAGTTTCTTGTTTCTGAAACTTTACGAAAGATTGAAATTTGATAAATATGCTATTCGAAAAATGAAAAATAAATATGATATTATATATGTGAATGAATATTTGAAATATGATAAATGAGTTCAGTTTAGTTTTACATAAACTTCTATCTAAATATAGCAAATTAACATATTGCATACTTAAATCTTATAAAGTACCATTAACATTAAGCAAAGTAGCATTTTATAAAATTTTTGAAAAATTGATTCAGAAGTTATTTCTACTCAAATGTTTTATAGTGATAGGTTATACGTCCTCATGACCGAAGCCTGAAAATGTCAGTATCATTTACCGAAAAATTACTACTCGCATTTGTCGCACTGAATCTAACAATTGTTATGTTACTATACAGGCATATCATTTAATCAATTATATTAATCCTATCAATAAAAAAAAAATTCTAATCTCAATTTTTTATTATAAAAACAAATATTTGATTAATTGGGAGAAAAGAATTAAGAAAATAGTTAAAGACAGAAAAAAGAATAGTATTCCAATGATACAGTAATTTGGCTTTTGAATATTGAAAAATTTCTTTTCGTCTCTGAAATAATCTGAAAATACAATGCAAAATAGTTTCATCAATTTTTAAATTATCTAAAACATTTGATTTCCCTAAATTGTTTAAAAGATATTTTTATTAATATAAAAATAGCAGAGTTAGAAAGTTAAATACAGTTATAATTAATTATGATAATTAATTATGATACAGTTTCAGTTAGGATTTTTAAAAATTGCAAAAAAAACAAAAGAACGAAGTTGATATTTCAAAACAAAGAAAATTAGCTAAATTCGTGTTGAGATACCAAAAAAGAAAATCTTTTAATCAATTCAATTCATACTTTAGCATATTAGAAATACCATTTTATATTCAATAGTTTATTTTAAGTTTTAGATATACTACAACCGATGCACCAATAATACTTATGATTCAGCTAATGGTACCATTAATCATTTGGCAAGTAATACTTGGCATATCGTTTTTTCCGGATGAATTTATTACTCAATTCTTGGATGACTTTTATGGACATAATGGTGCAGCTGGCGATCAGGCATTCAATGAACCACCGCCAAATCTCATCGATAGCATTCATTCACATGGTGATGTGCCAAGAACGCCTCCTAACGTTGTGATAGCGGAAGAACAAATATCATTCGATTTCTTATTCTAATATTCTCATTCACTTTTCTTTTCCTTTTTTTCCTTTATTCTGATTTTTATTGGTACCTCATGCAAGAATCTAATTCGTTACTAAAATTAAAATTAAACTGAACTGAAATTAATACGAATAGATATGCATCATGAATCACATGAATTCATTCCCTCCTGTAGTTTCTTTCAAAACTTTTCGATTTCAAATGAATTCAAGAAGTATTTGACTATAATTATCGGAATGAAGGATATGAACGAAGAGTGTCAAAGTTTTCAGAAACTAAAATATGAAAAATACAATAGAGGAAGCCAAAAAAGGAGAACAGAAAGCAGATATGAAATGTAATAGAAAACACAACGATAAAGAATCGGAAAATAACTATAGTCGCGGTATAGGACAGAAATCTTTCAATAAAATCGAAAGTCAATGCTTCTTAAAATTGAAAAATTGAAAATGCTGAAGACATCTCAAAACTAAAATTTGCACTTAGGAAAAGACAAATCTAACAAGGACGACAAAATCCTGATGAACTTTTGAAGCACATAACGAAGAGTGAACTTTTTGAGTTCGAGCCATTGTTTAGTTTCCGTCTTCAAGGAATGCAACTTGTATTTCACATTCATGCTCAGTCACATACGACAATTTATTGCGAACAATAATTAAAATTATGAATCTTTCAAATAAACGATTTTTAGTTGAAAAAGCTTTTTCAATAGGACAATAGGAATTTAAATTTTAAGATTTATGATTTTCCTGCAATAACAACAACAGCAATAATGACCAATGATAAGCCCACTTATAAATAACGAAACAAAAAGAATTCAAACAGCGGTCTCGGTGAGGTAGAAATCAGGATGAAATTCTATACTCATACTGTTGCTAAACAGTAGTCGTTGACTAAAGATGGGTTTGCTTACAAACTGTCAATTTCAGTCTTTGTCAAATGAAACTAAGAAATTAAAATGAAATCCTATTTTCATCAATTAGAAAATCTTAAAAAGTTACCAAAACGAAACAAGATATTAAAAGTCGCAAAATTACGGTAAATAATTTTTGCACACGGACCAAAACCTGGGAACAAATGACGCCATATGAAAAATAAATATGAAAAATAAATTTCTTCTTTATTGAATTGTATATAATTTATCTCTATCTTACTTAACCCAATAATTTCTTTTAACCTTAAAGCCTGGCTTTTATGCTTTGATTTTCAAACACGTTTTTGTTACCCGTTAAATATTACTATTGCAGATCAGGTGTTATACCAGTATTTTATCGGCATTTATCAGTCAAATTCTAAAATACTTTGTTCCTTCTAATTTTCAAATGACGAAAGATTTTTATATTTTTTTCGATTTTTATCGATTTTTACTGAACTGAAAGAAATTTTTAAAGTCTTCTGCTTGTTGAATACAAAAATAATTCATTCTTTATGAGATAATTATTTATAAGAACCTAATCGTTACACCTGATCTGTTATAAAAGAGATTCTCCACATGCGCGAAAACGTAGGAATATTGCCGAACATTAGTCAGATATGGGCTAACGTTCTACAGTATTCTTACTTTTCTTCAAATTTTTTTCGTTTTTCCTTCTCGTGAATTTATTGCCTTTGCCCAGTTTCAATTTTTTAGATAATTTTTTTTTCGGGATAAGAAAATTGTTTGAGTTACTCTTCGGCACTGCTCCATTGACAGATTCCTGAAAATGCATTCAGTTCGGAGTTATCTTCACTTCATTTTTTATAAAAAGATGGAATATAATCTGATGTGAGATAGAGATGAAACCATATTCTTCTCATAAATCAAAAATGAGTAACTTTTCAATAACTAATCATCAAGAACATCCAAAAATGAATAACATTTCTGGATGTTCTTGATGATTAGTTATTGAAAACATACATACCTTTGATACTTCGCTATTCGATGCACTAACATCGATTTCCATCTTTTCAATTGGAAACTTTGGCTGATGTTTCTAAAAAATCGAAAAATATTTCAGTATTAACATACACGCTACATAATTCCTCAATGCATCTTGAATATGGAATAAAAACAAAATAAAAAGAAAAACCTTTCGATTGTCTTGATATAACACTGCTTTCTTTGCCATTGCAGATTTTTCTAAAAATTAAATGAAAAATGAATAAGCGCTTGTAGTTGAGTAACAAAATAAGTTTCTCACAAGTACTAAGAAGATAATAGAGCAACATTCTGATCATTGGACATTAAAATCAGAATGCAACTTGACAAAGAGTAAACGGATGCCCAACTGCAAAATCCAATCAAAATTTACTTCGATACTTCTTTGATATTCTTAAAGGAATAACAATTGATATAATATGTTAATACTAAATACAATACAAATGTTTTCGCAGCTCTTTTTTCAGCTTTGTAGCATCAAGTTTTTTGAAATTTTCCGTAAAACTTGGTGCTAATTTCGAATCCCAATAAAGATCAAAATATTATTTGGAAAACAATACTATTGCAAAACATCTGATTTCTTATATGTGCACACCTCCTTTACGCAAGATCTCACAAAAGAAGTGAAATGAAAAGTCAAAGTTAAATTAGTGAAATATCATGAAAAAATATGAAAAAGATTGATTGACCTTTGATTTCAGCTCGATTTGAATTACCATTTTGTAATTTGTTTTTGGAAGCACTAGCATTTTTATCTATCAGTCCACCAGACAAGTCTGTGTTTTTCTGAAAATTAAAATCTTTTGTATAAAGCTTTTGGCACCGTTTAACTTTCAAGACCTAAATTTGACTTCAAGCTATAAAATTCTTGGACATGAGTAAAATGGGTAGAATTAAGTTAAACAGTCCAAATAAATTCGGAAGTAAGTGCGTTACTGGAGATAGGAAAATCCAGAAAAGTAGATGACTCTTATATCCATTCCAAGAATAGTGTCATGTCGATGTATCAAAAAATTCGTTTTATAATAGGTAAAGCTGATACATGGCACTGAAGTGTGAATATCGTGGAGGGAAATCGGTCTTGCTCACTGCAGCTACGGTAACGCAATTATTTAAAAAACTGTAACTTACTGCTATCTTTGAATTTGACAATTTCTTGAATTTTGCCACAAAGAATCCATCGATATTATGGATATGTGGATAATATCGTCGAGTCAGAGAGAGTGATGGGTGAAAGCGGTATTCTCGAAATCTGAATTTAGTTGAAATTTTCTAAAAAATCTTCAAAAACAGAAGAAAACCATATACAACACTTACTTCGTGAATCCTTCCACACCGATATTCAGACCCATTGGTACAAGTTTACAATCTCGTTTCTTCAATGCATAATCCACGACTGCTTCATTTTCTTCAACCTAAAACAGAAAAAGACTTCTCCTGCAATGGTTCAGTTCAACAATAAAACAATGACAACTGTTATTTACGAGAGCACCAATGTTATACTTTCAGCTGAAAAAGTGCTGAAATAACTTTGGAAAATCAAAACAACTAACAAAGCTATGGACAGAGAGAAACAGCTGTGGATGCCACAAACAAAGACCGTCTAAAACATGCAGACAACGAGACCTAAAACGATCAAATAAAAACGCATAATATAACTTACTAGAACAGAGCATGTTGAGTAAACTAGATAACCGCCAGTTTTTGAATTTGCATTAATGGAATCCAATGCAGCGAGTATTAGTTCCCGCTGCAAAGTGTGGCACCGTTGAACATCTTGACTTTCACGCCGTGTTTTAACACTTCCATCTTTCCAGATTACACCTGTTCCTGAGCATGGCGCATCCAACAAAACACGATCGAAACCTTGAATGGAATTTCATTTTATAAAATAAAAAAGTTTCTAGTTAAAGGTGACCTCCGAAATCTAACCAGATCTACATCCTTGCAAAACCCAAATTAACGTGATAATCTAGGTTATCTAGTTTTACTATTATTTCTTGGCATTATCATTACTTGTTAAATGAAAGGAAAAGACATCGAAAAATCAGAGTAATCTAAACTCCGAGAGCGATACCATTATCGCTTACCTAATCATACCACAGCATCCTCATCTCCTGTGTAGCATTAATAATGCTTGTATAATTTCCAACGATTTTGATGAGACATGCAATAAAAAATGAAACGCTTCCACAAACCTTGAGGCATAATTTTTGCAAATTCTCGTCCATCTAAATTACTTACAACCGCATTATTCACTCCCAGACGATGCAAATTACCAATAACCGCACAACAGCGCCGCATCTACAAATAACTGAGTTAGAATAAAAAGGCATGGCATGAAATTTAGTTACAGTAATTAGGAGAAAATGTAGCCGTAATAACACCCATGCTCTTTCTTTCTTTTGAAAAAAGATTAGCGTTTTAAATAAGTTTTGGTTTTGAGGAAAAGAAGTCATTTCGCTACGTAGTTCAGTTTTTCTTACAATTGTAATGTCTTGTTTTATTGCTATATTAACAGATAACTTAGGATTCCAAAAGAGCAGAAAACGCTTACATTGACATCATTTGCATAAAGAATCCCAGTATTTTTCATTAATGCTGCAATATGAGATGATTTACCACCAGGCGCAGAGCATACATCCAATATAGTTTCTTCCGGTTGTGGCGCTAAAGCCATCACTGGAAGAAAGGAATTCAGTCCCTGCAGCATATAATGCCCAGCGAGATATTCCGGAGTTGCACCTGAAAAATTTTTATGTAAATAATGAAGGTAGATTTGATTAATTTCATTTAAAACAACAGCGAAAGTTACGCAATGAAACGCATACCAACAGGAACTTGACTATCGTATACAATTAAGCCAATTTTAGTCCACTCCGCCGCTGGATCAACATTCATTCCTCTTAAAAAATAAGTATTTCTTTCGTATTTAGTCATCAGTATTCTGAGTTAAATAAATAGCAGCTATTATTTTACTTTATTTTACGTTTTCCTCTCTTTAATTCCAGTTGTAGCTGTATCGTTTCATTTATTGCTAATCTTCCTTGACTGAAAAATATCTTACTTTTTTTTTGACCTGTAATCTCTTAGAATTAACTACCATCATGGATAGTATCCATAACGATAGTTAATTCTAAGAGATTACAGGTCAAATTTCCAATCTCAATAATTTGGAACATAGAAATCATTTAAAATGATAAATTTTAGGAAGATACCTGTTGATGAGATTCCTTGCCAATTCAGCACGTCGTGTTTTCAATGAATTTGAGCGTATAATTACAGGTCGTGGTTGTTCGTTTGCTTCCAGAAATTCTAGTAACTGCAACAGGAAAGATTTTAAACAGAAGTATCCTATTCCAAAAAAATATATGAAAATGCCGGTAACGGTGAAAAAAATTGCAGTATCCAACAATTGCTGATGATACCCCTCGCGAGGCTAAACAACATATACCATTCCGATGAGGTAGGTATAAACACAAGATAAATTTCGGACCTTGCTTCTGCCCCAGAAATATTGCGGATATCTGTCTTAGTCATATAAAATATACAATGACTTACTTCTGTTCCATTCGGAAAAATGTCCATGAATTTTTGCATTAAATATTCATTATAACTATAATAACTGCAGAGATCTTTTTTGAGAACAGAAATATATTCATCTCGACTTCTAAAAACATTTTTAAAGATCAACGGAAATAAAATACATTAATTGCTGCGAAGTAGAGTACAAAGTATTGCAGGAATCTTCTAATATCCTTTAAAATTTAAAAATCAACGATAGAGGCCTAAAACGTGCAACGTCTAATTTCTAGCTGCAAAGCAATGGAGGAAAAAATTACATACTTTAATTAATTTAAGTTGTATTCATCGTGAAATAAATCTTTTAATAAAAGTAGAGTACTCAGAAAGAAACTCTATCATTACTAATTTTAAAAATAAATTAAATGTACCGGTTTGGATCGCGTCGACTTTTGAAATCACCAAGCACTTGGAAAACGTCTAAGATACGTTGTTTTGTGATTTTCAAATTAGGTGCCTGTTTCAGTTCGTCCTCAATTTCTTCAACTGATGGCAATTTGTACTGTTCTCCGCTTTCAATATTCAATAACAACTCATCATCGGCGAATTTCCTAAAATTCAAAAGTAAAGTTTGCTAATAATAACTCTAAAACTCATTCTAGTACAAGTCTGTCCTACTACACGAAAATAAAGCAAAATTGAAAAGATAGTTTTCCTTTTTCACTATCTTAATCAACATCATTGTAGTCAACCAAAAAATCAAAACAAACTCTGCAAAATGCTTTTGAAAATGAAAAAGTAAACATTAAGAAAAATATTAAGAGTCCTGAATTGCAGCTTACTCATCACTTTTTTTCTTCCTTTCCAATCTGCGAGATTTCTTCTCTACTGGCAAGTCCTCTGTATCTAATTCCGATAGATCACTTGAAGAAAAACAGTCACTTTCCATGTCATTATCGCTTTCTTCAGCTAAAATTAAGTCTTCGTCATCACTTCTACGAAAAATTTATAACTTTTAAATTGTTGCGAAATCCTAAGCCTATTTCCTTGCTTACAACCGTTGCATTCAGAAAAATTTTTGTGCTCCAACTTTTCATCACAATAAGATTTTTTTCTTCAGATATTAACCTATATACGACATTTGGCTTTAACACTAAAAATTATCGAAACATCAAGAAAAACTAACAAGCAGTGTTTAAACTAGAAAAGCCTTCCCCATGGACATCGCCGTCATTCTGAAATTCAAAATGCATGAAATCACAGGAAATGTTGTCTGCCTATCGTACAAGAAAGGATAATGATTGTAACGGTATTTTTAAACGCTTAACCCAAACTAAATATCAATGAAGACCAATTACTGGTGTACGGAACTGAGTAGTTTTTATTGATCATTCACAATGACGCAATTATCACATAACACAACAAAAACCCACCTCAAATAGAGGCATTTTCTCTGGGTTCCTCTTTTCTGCACTCTCTTCGAGCTCTCCGTTGGTCCAATTTTTTCGAATTTTTTCCGCCAATACTTTTTGTTCAGTTGAGGAATCCTAAAAACGTTATTAGTTCAAAACTTTAATTCATATATTACTCTTATTTTTTAGTTTAGATTAGTAATAGAGGCCTGTTTTGTATATTTTTTATTGTGAATATTAGAAAAGTATGTGTCTTGAAAAAAATAGAGGAGCACACTGAAATCCAAGTTAAACAATAAACAATAAAATATAGAATGATTAGCCATAAATGGCCAAAATTAATTTAACTTGAAAAACTATAGTTGAAAATATACCTACAAATATAATCTACAAAGAATGATTAGAATCAAACTTAAGTAATTAAAAAAACAAATCAAACTTGATATCATTTCCTACCTTCTTCTCCTTTGCTGATTGATTCCTTTTCCTCTTAATAACCTTATGGCTCACATTTTCTTGAACCTGTAACTATTCATCAGTTCAACATATCTAATGTGACTTAACAAACTATAAGCAAATTACTGGTATTATCAATTATCAATCTATCATTATTAAAATAGCAAAATGTACTACATGCACAGGTATTAGAGATATTATTGTTCTTTAAAATATCTATCCCGGGGTTTTGGAGAATATTTTCTCATAATATAATAGTTCCATCAGAGGTTAATCTAATCATACAAAGAAGTCAAGATAAAATTTGATTCTTTAAGAAATATATGCACACATGCGTTTAAATAGGTCGATTCGTTTGCTTTCCAGATACAACAGAAGCAAAACAGATATTGCTCAAGTTGAAGATGCTTGGACTATATCAGGTACTATTAGCCATAATATGACAGAGAGGCAATATATAATATTATAAATTGACATACTGCACGTGTCATATTAGTTCCAGTAATACATTTGAAACGATATACAGCAAGAGCTATAACATAAAAAGCTAATAAATAATCTGGGCAAATTCAACCATTTCACCTTTTGAGCAGGATGCATAATATTTTTCATCTCTGCAGCAGGTTCTTTCTTGTTTGTAATAATTCCTACCTTCCTCAGTTTCTTTTTTTTTCCCATTCGGTTAGCAAAACCAACCCGCTTAAGTTGCTTTTCAGTTAACTTGTTCTCTTCCAAAACCATCTGAAAAATTATGCAATCAAAAAATACGTATAATTCTTCAGGAGATAACACTTCCATACAGGGTAAAGGAGGTTTTCCATTCACTCATATTTTCATAAAATCAGTTACCAAAGGTGTGTTTTGGAAAAATTAAGTCCTTATTTGCAAAAGAATAAATTCATGTCCCAGTTAAACTGATGAGAATCGTCGACAACAATGTTCAAAGAATCATATTTGTAGAAAAATCACACATACATTTAGCTTTTAACATGACATACATTAACTATAATTATATTTTTGGAGAGAACAAAACTGAATTTCAAGCCATTGGTAATCTTTGAAAGCTCGCAGGGTTTTGATTAAACATATTAAAGCCCAAGTTCAACAATACTGCAACAGTCATCTATTTCAGAAAAATGCTATTTTTTGACAAATTTTATTGAAATATGACATCATAGATATTAATGAAATATGTCCTTTTCATGCTGAGGATTTATCCTAAGAATTTTAACTGTCATTTTAGGGTAGACCTTGTCAGTGACAAAAATGTGAAGGCGATAATAATCGATCTGTAAATTGCAACAAAGAAACAAGAAAAGGCCACCATGTTAACAAAGGAAGTGCTGCAATATCTCCAATATTTATCTCCTTACAAGTGATGATTTGTGTTATAATTACCCCCCAAAATTTCACATTAATATCTAAGAAGGCTTGGGTCTTCAAATGAATGGTTGAAAAACTTACAATGAAAAATTTTTGTGATCTAACACCTTAGGATTATTACTACAGCTAATATTATGATTTCGACGCACAGTTTCCTTAATTTCTGAGTGTTTAAGCGCACTATACAACAGTTTCATTATGCAAAAACAAATTAAAACCACCTTATCAGACGTGACATTCACCACTTGCCTTTTCGACCATATTTCTTTGTTTGAGTACATAACTGAAGCGGCCATTTTTTTATTTTCAACGATTTCTTCAATCAGTACCAATCAGTGTTAGTGACTAAAATTTCTTTAATCAGTACCGCAAGAACTGAAAATACCGAACACTTCATGTGGAAAGCAAGAATGTTCTTATCTCATGTAAAATAACAAGGTCTCGCAATTTACACTTCAAGAAACAAAAGTTCCGAAAGTTAGCACAGAACATTGCACATGTCTCGCCAAATTAAACCTAAAACACCTTAATATTATCGTTTTACTACATTGCTCCATTAATTGAACTGAAAACTAATTAATAACTTGCGACTTCCATTTTCTCCTGCGAAGCTTCTAAGATAATACAGCGTATTGCGCAACTTTCAACTATCTTCAGCAGTTATAAACCGCGACGAATCGTTCAAATTAAAGCTAATGAAAAAAAACCTAATTCCGAGTTATGAGGAATGTAAAAATGCAAAACTGAAATTATTCCAGCAAGGTCCAATAATTATAATTATGTACTACTATGAAATAACAATAATCGAGACAGAATTAATCATAGCGGCAACTAAATGGAAAAAACATATACATTTATTGCAATCTTTTCACAACCAAACAAATCATCATGATCAACAACTGCAATATTAAATAGTGACGAAAATACATTACAGTTCCTAAAATGAATTAAAAATGGGCTAAGTTCCTTATAATACCTATTTAATGAAAGGACTTCAACATTTCTGCCATCAAAAAATTTGTACAACCATCACCTAATTAGCCTGTTTGTTTCATAGCAAAAGCTAATCGAAATAAAGCGCCGCACTGGAACTATTTCGTAACTGTTCCTAAACGAGGACACATCGATTATTTAACACAAAAGTTAAAACAAATTTCTTTTCACATTGATAATTATAGAGAAGATTAGGACCATTAAACAGTGCCTGTTTTCGGATGACAACTGGGCAAGGGCTCCAAACTATGAAACTGAAAATAAAAATTGATCTCCTCTAGAGGTAGATTTTTCACACCAGTTCATCTGAATTCTTTGTAACTCACTAATGAGCAAAAACATAACTGTGCAATTTCACATAAATGAATCATCAGTGATGTGAGCGAGTGTATTTGCCCCAAATGTGTAGTATGAAAACAGAAGCTATGAAAACGAGACTCATAACAAGCACTGGAACTGGCCCAATTTTCAGGCCGGTTGCATCTTCTGTGTAAAAACGCCATAAACCACCACTACTTACGCCACCACGTGATGAACGTCCTGAGCCTGAAATGAAATGCATTTGGTTCAAAAAGCAAATAAATTAGTTACGAATAAAGAAACATTAAAAAATATATAACGATGTACGAACTGAAGCAAAAGTTTAACGGATATATTTTAAATTCTGAGAAACGAAAAACACAAAAATTAAAAAAATGTTAATAAAAAAATCACTTGAAAAAGGAGCTCCACGTCTTTGCCGCACTGCAGTTCCTCCGGAACCAGCTCTTGTTGCACGTCCTGGGCTACGACCTGTATCAGACATTTCGAGCTTCCCAAACTGAAATAACTGAAATCTGACCAAAACTCAAGTTTGGCAAGACACCAAATGCACATCAAACGCCAACGAAAATATCCGTTAAGAAAACACTGTATTCATATAAAATAACATCTCCTATTAAGAACAGTAACGACGTCCCTAACCAATATAAACATACGAGTGTACTTGGTGGAACAATTATTACCCAAAATTGAAAGAATGCCAAAAAAACTGCGAGAACCGAACTGTAACAGCTCGAAAACAAATCGCTCTTGGACAGTGCTTGGTTCGAGGGGTTAAAATATAAGAAGAAATGTTCGGGACGGGGATTTGATTTGCCTTGGATTGTTGACTTAACATTGTCATCTATTTCTACATTCAATAAATTGTCTCTTATAAGTGAAGCTGTATAAATAGTTGCAATACGCCTGACTAGGAAAACGTCACGTTAGAAAGTACTAGTGGAACTGTTATATTCATTCAAGATTCGATACTGACAATAAAACTTATTGTTAATATTGAGTTTTTGAAACTGAAAAGGAAATCAAGGAATCATCTGGTCAAAGCTGATAATGAAAAGTCATCTAACCATTTGATATATGTCATTGACGGTATTGTTGGAATCGTATATCAGGTGAATGACTCAGACATATTCTCTGACCAAAATAGTTTCATCAGTGTAAATCTCAGTAATACAAAGATACTTTAATAATATATATAATTTTTATATTATAAGATTATTTCGGGTTTCTGACAGTGGAAGTTTATTATTGAATACTTCAGAAAAAATTTTTATCGTTCGCAGCAATTTGGCTACCAAATCATCATCACTCATCCCGCGAAAAAATATGCAATTTTTGTATATTTAATAATTTGACCATTTTTGTACATTCAATAATATGATTCAAAGAAAGTGTTCCAAGCAGCCAATTTGTTTTTTGTATAATTTGGAAGAGAATTTTGTCAACCGAAAATAACCTGCTTTCTCAATTATATATTCATATTGCATAGCTTGTTATTTTGATATTATAACTATAACATAATACCTTTTTTAGAAGCGATATTTTTGATAGTGATTTCTTAGGGCTCATTACCTACTTTGGAAGAACTTTTTATCGAAAAAAAATATTCCTAAATTTTATTTTTGTTTGGTTTTCGGTTGAAGATTGTAAGATGAAACCACTTTTTCCTTTTTTATACCGATGGTTTCTATTTTTCTTGTTTTAAATGCAATATGGTTGTTTGATATTTTCCCATATGTTAGGATCAATTTATATTTGTAAGAATACTTCATTTATAGATCATAATATTAGTCATAAAGAATTTCGTGCTCTGTAACTTTGCTTTATTTCCAGTATTTTAATTAACAATTTTTTTAAATCTTATAGGTTTCTGAGTAATTTTGATAAGATAGATTTTCAAAGAAGCCTTAAATTTTGCTTTATTTTTTTCAGTACGTTTACGGGTTCCGAATTATATCTATATCTTCCCTGCTGTGTTGATGTATTGATTCAATTATTTTTCTTGAATTTATCTAGAATTTTGATATTTTACTTAATTTCTCGAATTTTTTCTTCCATTCGTATGTAATATTTTATTGCATTTACAAGGTTTAGTTCTTTTTAATAATATTATTTTTGGAATTATGATTGGTTTATTACCTGTTATTGTAATCTTCTGGTCGTTGAGATAAGTGGATTTTAGTGCTTTTTGAGCTTCCATGAAGAGTTTATCGTATCGTTCTATGATATCCTGCTGTGATGAACCACTTATGAAGACAATTTTGGTTTCTTTTTTGATTGCTGTGCATTACAAATTATATAAAGCTTACTTAATAGAGCGATGACCAAAATAGTCGAGTGCAAATGGACATTATCGTAAGTTCTTGAGGATGAAGATCTTTGAGAAATTCGACAAGCGATTAAGAGATTACAGTATCTAACTAATATCTGGGCAGGAGGTATGCCGTCACAATTTTCGCATTAAGCAAAATTAAGCTATTAAATTCTAATCGAAGTGTCAGGAAACCATTGGTTATGCATCATAGGTATTCGAGCAATTCATAATTGTTAAATTTTCTTTAGAGCATTGGTAAATAATAGTACTGGAATTATTTGATGGACAATGGCGCTTATCTAAAATTATCATTTCACCTATCACACATTGATAGTTGGTATTACAAAACATTAGAAAATGAAGAATAATTCAAAATTTAAATTTTAACAGGAATATGCTGATATTCACAATGATTTTTTTTCCATAATTGCTGCAGCTTTTATTTAACTGTTGCTATTACTGTAATGGCATGGATGCACTAAAATTATTTCTCATCAAATTCAATTTCATTTCAATTCTATTTTCCGTTTCAGTGATTTTTATGGTTACATTTTACACCCCGTAATAGCCAATATTTAGGAAGCTAAACCTTTATTACGAATAATTGGAAGTATGAAATTTCCTGAAATCTTATCTAATTTTTTCATAGCATGAATTAAAAAGAGCAAAAGGATATTGTAATGGCAATCATCAAAGTATTGAAGAGCTAAAACAGGAAAATGTAAAAGGACTGAACTTTTTATTTTACGGATGAATAATTCAAAATTTAGCAAAGCAATAAATTTCAAGTTTTCTAAAGAGAAAAAAGACTGTCATAACAATTATGAATAATTATCTTAAAAAAAGTGTCAGTTATTGACAGATAATAACTTTTACAGCAACACTAAGTAATTCATTATTAGAATTCATGTTTTTGTCCTTGAAAATAATCGCTGGGCCTTCAAAGTTTCATCTGGTTTAAATTTTTTTGCAACTAATATTTGTTTAAATAAAAACAAAAGAAATCTTGCAAATGATGATATGATCGAAGTATATTTGTCATCATGGTAGGTCTTATCATTCCGATTATCAATAAATATGTAAGGCTGGCAAGTGAATACTACGGAATTATACAAAATAAGTTTACCGATGGCCGCAATCAAATAGCAAAGTGCTGGAAAAAAAAATCGTTTGTGAGAAATTAAAAATTGCTACAATGGTATGAAATGAATTAAAATTTAAAAAATTAAATTAGATTTAATTAAAGCAAAGAGATTCGAATTTAAGTTTAAATCTAAGCAAACGAATTTTCGATCTATTCATATGTGTTTAATTTACAGTTTATAAATCAACCAGAACTGCATCAACTACATATTCGAGAATATCATAGAACGGCAAATTAAGAAGTTATTTTCGTTGAAATGCTAAGCAAGTGGTTGGAAATGTCGTAGAGCGGTAAATGAGGAGTAAATATCGGATAAGTGTTCAGGAAATGTATTTGTTAACAGATTTTATTGCTAATATTTCGGTGATCAACGCAAAATATAGAATTAAGGAATTGAGAAATTTTTTTGTTCACTGATAAGGATTGTTGATTAGAAATAATGATTGGAAGGCATTTCGCAATTTTTTCGACCTATCAATTTTTCATGATTAAAACTTATTAATTGTAAAATAGTAAGAAGTAGATTAAAATTTTTTTAATAATTAGATGGATTATGAGTGGCTGCTTGATAATAATAATAATGATAATGATAAGTTTCAAAAATCTCTTTTACATTTAAACTTAATGAAATCTTTCGATTCGTCATATTTTTATCTCATTTTCTATCCTATCAAATCCTTTCATATTTATCAAAATGTTTTCAATTATTTCATCTTCATCATCACCTTTAATTACATATTTTGCTATTCCTAAATTCCAATTCATTAATTACAAAATTGATAATTAACTGGCAATTTAAGATAATTGTAAGGATAGGATTATTATCAATTTATTAACATATTGCTCAAAAATGAACATTTTTTTGCCAATATATTAAATTTAAATTTAAACAATTAAATTATTCAATTCAATTATCATTAAAGAGAATACTTATTATAATTGTCGCATGAGCAGATATGAAAGCATTTCATCGTACAGAACTAATTATTTCCTTTTTAAATAAGATATAAAGATCTGAAAAAAGCCTTATTACACAAGCAAATTGCTTTTTTAGTTTAGTGACAGCAAGTAAAAAGAAAATACAATTCAAAGTAACAAAGGAAAAGTTTCAAATTAAAATTAACATTTTAAAATTTTATTAAATTACAAAATATTTTCTGCTAAAAAATAACGTTTGAAAAAGTTACACACATAAATACATAATATTTTGAGATTTCATCGAAATTTTTGAAATTTTATCAAATTTACTTTAAAAATTTTAATATTAAATAAAATCATTTTCATCTTTACAACATTTTTTAATTCATAAATTTCCTTTTCATTAATTTATTTATTCGATGAAATTTGAATATCTTATCATTAATAATATCGCACTAAAATTTTCAACGAAGAAAAAAAGGTATATATTGTGATGAAAGAAAAATGTCACATATCATTGATATTGTTGACAAATATGATAAGATGAAGATTTGTCGTGTAAAATATATGAAGGTTTTATTAATTTTGCAATACGAAAATGATATTATTAAGAGAATTCATTGGTATGAACGTATTCTTTATAATGTTTCAATGCTTTCATTACTTCATCACATTTGATTGTATTATGAAGAATCTGAAATTTTTTGAAAATATGTAAAAATTATGAAGAGAAATTGAAATTATAAATGATAGTATAGAAAGAATTAAAACAAAAATTCAAATGGTTTCTTTTTTTGTTTTGTTTTATTTCTCATCTAACAATAAGTTATGAATAAATAATAAATGAATTATTTAATATAACTAGTACTTAAAGAAGATATCTGATATGAAGTAATTGATAAAAACTGAGTGAGTACCTTTATTAAATTTTACTCTACGAGACATACTTCACTAAGTTGTATCTTTAGCAATATGCTTTAGTAAGAAAAATTACAGTGAAATGATTATCCAAGAAAAATCTGTACGACAAATATTTCAACTCTTTTTATTTTTGATTATTTGTTCGAAATCAGAATTGAAATATAATTTTATTGTTAAAATGACTAAT